TAAATCCTAACGTCACGAGGACGAAATGATCAAATTTCGGAGGGTACGGCTTCCCTGAAAAAATTTTCAGAACATTTTCAGAAAATTTTTCAGAAAAAAAAACATTGGTAAATTCATATTTTCGAGACCTTTAGGATGTCTTCTAACGAGAAATGGTGGCGTGCCTGCCGTGACGGCCAAAGAGACGAAACTCATCGTGGCAGAAATGTCGAACATGACCCAGACCAGTTTTTCATACGCGGACAAATTATCGCGAGGCAGGACGGAAATCTTTTTCGAAATGTAGTATTTGTGTCCGTTTCTTTCAATTTCGTCTGAAAATAGTTGCAAATTTATTTCTGCTATGAAAAAAGTTGCAAATTAATTTATGTTATGAAAAAAGTTGCAAATTAATTCTGATTATGAAAATATTTGCAAATTAATTCTGTTTGAAAATAGTGGCAGCTTAATATCGTCGGAAAATATTTGCAAATTAATTTCGCCTGCAAAAAACTTTTGCGAATTAATTTTGTCTGAAAATAGTTACAAATCAATTTTGTCTGAAATTGTTTGCAAATAGTTTTGTCTGAAAATGCTTCTAAATTAATTTCGTGTGAAAATATTTGCAAATTAAATTTTGCCTGAATTTTTTTGCAAATTAATTTTGATCAGTGTTTCGGGTGTAAGTACATAAGTGACCACTCACTAGAAATAATGGCAAGAAAGTGTTTTTTCACCTATTTTGACCTGCAAGAAATGCAAAATGCAAGAAACTACTTCCCGTCGTGATAATTCATACGGCGCGTGGCTAGATGGCGCTTATTTTTTTGCAATTTCTTGCACCTCGCATTTCTAGCTTTGCAATGCAAGAAATGTGACAAACAAGCACGGAAATGGATCCCAACTTACCCGTGATGACCAATTGGTCCGGCATCTTTTGGCGACGTCCTAACGCTTTTCGATGGTGGTTGTGCACGAGAACTTGACGCAGGAAGAGGAACGAGTAGATCGTGTGGGCGAAAAGGGCCCAAGTCTGGGTAGGAAATTAAGGTCAATTACATATGTAAATTAGTGACAATTAAAATATTTAAATTTATGATGACACTAACCTCAAAGTAGATGAGGAACGGGAGCGGATTGACCTGCGAGAGTTTGTAGACGGACGCGCCACAGAGCGTGAGGACGTAGAAAAGCCGGTACACGACGTAGTCCAGGACCGAGTAGGTCGTCCCAGTTCGCCGCGCTATTATAACTTCCCACTTAATTATTTTAAAAAAGGGGTAATCATTAATTAAGCAATTAGTAATTAAGTAATTAATCATGATTATTTAAAATTAATGATAATTAAATTACTAACCGTGCTATGCAAAAATCCATACTTGCGTTTACTCGTAAAGCCAAAATTTCTGACCCAAATGAGCCACGCGATACTTGGTCGTCGCCCCATTTCGCGTTATTTTTTATGACTTGCAAAATAATTGAGATTTATTTACAGCAAAGGAAAAATATTAGTCTTTTTTATCGCGTAAAAGTTATGTGGAAAATAATACACTTTTTTTCGTGTAGAGAGATTATTATTTTAATAAAATAATGGCATGAATTTTAATTTTTTTAAAAATTAAAACACATTTTTTTTGTAAATAAATAATAAATAAAATAATAATTATCGTTATGGACATTAATTAATAATTTTGCAGGACGTGGATAAAAACTGCGAATCCAATGTTGTACATAAATAAATTGTTCATGTTTAATTCCAATAAGTTTATGTGGAAAGTTTTCGCATAAATTTGAGTAAATTAGGTAATTAGAAACTTTTACATTATGAGTATATGAGTTTCATAAAGTTTTTATTTTATTTTTTCGTACTTTTAAATTCCCCTTTTAATCAAGGTGATTAATTAATTAATTAATTAATTATTAGTGTTTGCATGTTTCATTTAATTTTTCATGCATTTTCCTACATATTTTATCCCGACAAGTTTATTTATACACAAAATTTTCATAAGTTCGTTTGAGTAATATTTCTAAAAACGAATATAAATTTTATTTTGCGATAAGTTTAGGTGCAAAATTTTCATGTAATTTTGAGCATACCGTAAAACCTCTATTTATAGCCGGGGCTAAAATCCAAAACGGAGGGTGACGGACCCGGCTAAAATTAGAGACCGGCTATAATTAGAGACCCGGTTAAATTTTGTTGCTCCAAAAATTTTAGATGTTACAAAATCAAATATAATTGATTTTGACTCAATTTGAGTTTTCTAATTTAGCAAGATAAGCCATAAGTAACCTATTCACTTTTAATCTACATTTTGAAACGAAGTTTAGCAGGTTTTTTAAATTTGGAATTTTGCAAAAAAGAATTCATTTTATGAATTTGAAGATTTGCATGTTGTTTTTTGTAAGTGTAACATCGAAATTATAAGAAGTGCTGTTACATGTTTAATAAAAAAATGAACAATAAAATTTGTGAGTGATATTATTTTAATTTGCTTGAAAAAAATTAGTCCGGCGTTTTTTATATTACAATTAGCAATTAATGTAACCATAAATTCTAGATTAAGGATTAATCTGAAAAAAAGTTTTAACAAATATCTCCGCCAAACCTGTGCATTTGCAGATAGTTTCATTTGCAAATTGCATACTAATTATATTTGTGATCGATGGGCGCTAGTTTGGTCAAAATCTGTGAGCATACATTGGGTGACCTCAATTCTCAGTGTTTAATATGCATCTTCTTCTTCTTGGGACGCTTTTTGAGTGCCAACTTGTCATCTACTTATTTCTTTCGTGCGAATTTCTGCCTCGTGTCGATCGTGATGCAAAAGTGGGACGATTTGTGTCTTCAACCTGGTCACGATTCGTTCCAATCAAGACTCGGATTTGCTGGATGTCTTCTGCAGAAAATTAATGTGTAAATGGGAAATTTACATTTGTGTGAAACTTTGCAAAAATATTTTTGGTCGTTACCTTGTAATTTCATCTATAATCTTTTCGTAAATATGGTCAGTAATTGTTAATTCATAAAATAGAATTGTCATACATGGGTGACTAAAACGTCCTTAAATTATTTTTACTTTCGTTTATTTTCAAAATGAAATTACAGATAGATTTGCGCTGAGCTTTACAACGACGAATTTAACAACTTTCTAAAAATATTTAGTAATTTGTAAGCAAAATCTTGTTATCGACAAAATCAGAATTTAAACGTGTTTTTGTAATATACGCCGGTGTAATTGAGAGAAAGTATGGATTAGGCCGGAATAGTGATGAATATAAGTATTCTCTCCATCTCCTATTTATTTACAAGAATTTTTTTTAATTTGTACTTTAATGCAGTATAAAATAGTTACAAATTTGAAATTCACGCGAAATCTACGTGAAATTCACGCGATGCCAATTACGCGGAAGAGAAGGGGGCAGAGAAAGTCGGGAACAAGACGTTCTTGGTCCCGTCATGTCGAAAAAGATGAAAGGAAATCAATTAAATGACGGAATTTTAGTGAAGCATGCTGCAAATTTTGGTTTAATTCGATTTGTTTTCCATGTGGCTAAAACAGGGAGAAATTTATAGAATAATGTTTTTAAAAGTATTAATTGTTAATATAGAAGACGAGAAGTTTTTTGAAAAAAACATATTTTAATGTGCCCCAAAATTTACAAAATAAAGAAATACTTATTGAACCCCATGGTATAGACATTTTTAAAATCTAATGTGTTATAAAGTATATTTCAATTAAATTTTGTAGCGGCGCCGAAATCTGACAAATTTATTATAAAAATATTTTTCACATGAATTTTGACATGTTAAACTTTAACCGATTTCATTTTTATTTTTATTGAAAAATATAATCTTAAACGTACTTATTATGAATTCCAAATTTCATACATATTTCATGCTTATCATTTCGACGAGCTGTGTAAGTGAAATTTAAGATCGAGGCAAACTGAGACGTATGAGTAAACGTGAGCAAAATTGAGACAATCTCACTTTCCCAGTGAGATGCCACGATCACTCCACTTCAAACCACAAGTATCAATGAAATGCCATCATAAAAGTGAACCATACCTGTTCACTTTCATTCATTAGACTGATTATGATAAAAAATGATAGTGAATGAAAATGAATTTCCTGTGATTTGAATGAAAATGAGTGAAAGATTCCGTCATTTCAGATGAATGAGTGTGAATGAAAGGATTTCTCACTCATTTCATTTTTCACCCTATGCTTAACACATGGGTCGAAGTAAGAAATGAAGTTATATGAAATGAAATGAAATGAATTTAGAAGAAAATGACTGAATGAAAATCTTCAGTCAGAAATCGGGATGACTGAACTTTGAATGAAAAAAGTTTTTTTTGAACAGGTATGGTGGGAACTTCTACTTCGGAAACAATAACAGAGTTGTCACGTTTTGGTTGGATATTTTAGTTTCGAATATGTGATAACATTTTATTTTCCTGCACTCAAAATAAGGTAGTAATGAATCATTACCATGCGGAATCACTATGTGTCTCTACCACTTCGGTTACGATTTGTCGTAGAAATGGTAGTAATAAGTTCAGGGAAATTCAAATTTAATACATAACGGTATTCACTTCCTTAATATTTGTTAATGAATTTGAATTTCCCTGAACTTATTATTACCATTTCCACGACAAATCGTAACTGAAGTGGTAGAGACAAATAGTGATTCCGCATGGTAATGATTCATTACTACCTTATTTTGAGTGTGTGTAAAAATTATACAAAACGTGAGATACCCACGCTGTTATCTTATCATTTAAAAACACATTTATAGATTTTAAAAAATGTATCTATCATAATTTATAACGATATTTTTTATAAAATTTGATACTCACATAATTATGTATATTCTTATATATGTATTGAATTTAAGAAATTCACAATAGTTATTCACAAAATTTCATAAATAAACTTTTTCATAAAAAGTAGTATGCAAAAGTTTATATTTTTATAATTTGTTTCATTTCATAATTTCATAGTTTTTTTTCGCTTGATAATTTCAATATTTTAAATCCATTCATACAGTAGACAATGTTAAACACAGTCAGTTTAACCACGCTCTTACCGGAATTAATTAAATTCCGACCAAAATTGGAAGTGGGTGAAAATAACCACGCACAAGAAAATATCGGCAAAAAGTGTTTTTTGCAGCTATTTTGACCTGCAAGAAATGTAAGGCACAAGAAACTTGACTTGCCGCCAAATTTCAAACGGCGCGTGGTTTGATGTCGCTATTTCTTGCAGTTTATTGCACCTCGCATTTTTCCGTTTCTTGCACTTCGCATTTCTTGCGTTTCTTGCTTTGCAGTGGAGGAAATGTAGCAATCGCACCGCGATTTTAAGCTGAATTTCCTAATTATCCTGGACTTTTACTACACTGTAAATCCAACTTTCTCCGGCACCCTGCCCGACTACTCTTGTCAAACATCGATATGGAAGTCTCCTTTATTTTTACTTCGGCTTTGTCTTTGTTTCTCTTGTTTTCCCGGATTTCGCTTCATTGGAAACCCGTTCACTTCAGGAACGTCGTCATTTCCGTGAAAAGGCTGATCCTCCACGTTTTTCGAAAATTTTGGGGGCGGTTGTTCCCTCGTGGTGAAAGAAGTCTCCTCAGTGTGCGAGGAGTACCCAGAGCTGGACCGGACGCGCGGGATGATTTGCCCTCCGCCGCCGCCCCCACTGTTTGAAGATCCCGAGGTGGACTTGTAACCACTTTTGTGGTGGCGAGCGCGCCCCGCGCAGTAAGTGGCGCGACCTGAGGTGCGACCCGTGGTGGGGGAAGATTCCTCGTCCAGGGAGGAAGAGGAGGACTCCAGTTCTTCCGAGGTGGGGACGTGATCTGTACGAAGAGGAGGGAGAATTTGTATAAATAAATATGTATAAATATTTCAACATACGTATAATAAGCAAGTTTATGAAAATTTAGGGGTTAAAGTTCCTCAGAAATATTTGTAAACTTTTGTAAAAGCTTGTAAGCTCAAGGAATTTTCGGATTTTACAAGGTTAAATACCAAGCCCTGCGTGAATTCTACTATTCGAAGGCCGTAAAAATGATTTTCAATTCCCAGCAGTTGTCGACCTGTTTTAGATATGAAGTTAAACCTTAACTTTTTACCTTGTCTGTTTCGGCGTCTAAACGTGCCAAATTGTTGTTCTTGATATTGTTGTTGTTGAAGAATGATTTGTTGCCGTTGCTGTTGCGAAACGTAGTCGTTCTGGTGGGATAAGTATTGGTTGTGGGGGTGGAGGTATTTTGGCGAAATTTCGCCATCATTTGCGCCGATGGCGTCATACTCGAGTGGGGGCATGTGCATGGCCAGGATTTTGGTCACTTCAGCGTCCTCCGCGTCCTCACCAACTTTGCTGCTTAATCGGCCAGACTTCAGGTGTTCGGCATCCTGTGGAAATTACCAGGGTTGAAAAACTTTCATTCATTTTTCATATTAAAAACCGAAAAATCGTTTGATAGCTAAATACTAAGAATGGAGGTCTCCCAACGTATGCTCACAGATTTGGACGAAATTAGTGTCTACCGATCACAAATATAATTAGGATGAAATTTACAAATGGCACTATTTGCCAATACGCAGGTTTGGCGGAGATATTTGCATTCAAAGCAGAAAAAATGCGCAGCAAATTTGGAAAAAGAAAAATATGCCAGCCTTTTGGTGCGTTTTCTCCTCTTTTTATGCAAATATCTCCGCCAAACCTGCGCATTGGCAGATAGTTCCATCTGCAAATTTCATACTAATTATATTTGTGATCGATTGACACTAATTTCGTCCAAATCTGTGAGCATACGTTGGGAGACCTCCATTGTAAGATGGCGAGAAAAATACCATAAAATAGCACAACAATTTATTAGTTAAGTATTTAGAAAAATTGCGATATTATTTGCACATTTGCTTGGCATTATTGAGCATTTCATGTATTTTTCCGGATTTTTGGTGGATATTATTAAACTTAATAATATTTTTGTGCACTAGTTTCATGCAGGTGGTTTTAACAGCAGAAACACTATTACAACGTATTTAATTAATTTTTTTGAGTCTGCAGTACACGATCGAAATCCAAAGTGTTTTTTTCTAGTTTTTTTTCAGTTTTTAAAGTTCTTAACCCATGTGGTTAAGAACCCTAAAATCTATTTGTAACGCTAATCTTTATTAATTATTAAAAAAGTTCAAATCCATCGTTAAACCATTACAATTTTTTTCTAAAATTTACCAACTCGAAATCTCTTATTGTTTTTATTGATACTTACAATTTTGAATTCTAAAATTTGTTTCTTTATGATCTGATTAAATAACCAAAATTGAATCGCGATTTAGAAGAATTAGACGCTTATATAGTATCTTCTTCCAAGAATTAGACGTTGATTCAGATTTTTTTTTGAAATTTATATATACAATCTTTTGCGCAATAATTTTGCAAAATTAAAATTAAAAAATGCTTTTACTCACTTGGAAAGAAAGCGTGGCCATGGAATTTTGCGACTGGACGGGGTGGTAGGGTCCGGAGTAGACGTTTCCCACGTTGTGGAGCGTGTCCCCCGTGTGGAAACCCCCACTGCCGCCCAGCCCTTTCGTGAGGAAGGGGCGGGTCGGGGGGTTCTCGGGAAGTTGGAAGGTCGCATAGGGACACACGTCGTCTCCATAGTCTGCAAATTTTGTAGGAAAAATGGTGAAATTTGCAATTTTAAAATGTTTGTACATAATTTCACAGTAGACAAAATTCAAGGTATCAATATTGCAAAAACCTTATCCTTCTTCTTAAATTTTTTACCGTGTTGGAATGTAATTTCATTCCATGCAACATGAGCTCCTCTTCCAATTCATGTATTCATGTAAATTATTCAAATGACATTTCATCTCCGACACAATTCATATCAGACGCACAAAACTCGGAATTTTCGCAAATTTACCCTTTATGCAATATTTTCCCTTTCTACATTTCGCAAATGTCAATATTGCAAACGACATGTAAATTTAATTTTGTCCCTTCTATTAGATTACATGTTCGAAATTTCATGAGCACCCCTTCAAATTCGTACATTCATGCAAATTAAATTCGCCATGCAAAATTCTTATAAACTAAATTTCCCCAAATTTGCCAAACATGTATCTCCCCTCATCTTTGGCACGTATCTTCACATGTGCTTCTAAAATTTATGGCAAAATTCTACCTCTGTTCATTTCATGCCCATCCTGATAAAGTGATATCTGCACTGTTAAAAATCTGGTAGAGTCACATGAATACTCCGTGATGGTATTGACTTGCTAATAATTTCCTACCCAATTGGTAGTAAATTGTTCCTGAATGGTAAATTTGTCATTACAACATTACTGAACGGTAACTCCAGTTACTACCAGTCCCTGTAGAGTCACATATGTACTCCGGTCGGTAATGATTTAATACCAGTTTTCTAAGAGTGTACATGACTACCAAGTAACACATCCTCATTTAGTCGTCGTCGACTCGTAGTCGTCGTTGGAGGAGGAAGTGTGTCGTCGTGTTTGACTTCATGTCGGCCCAAAATGCACAGGGTGCGGGGAGGGCTAAACTAATAATGACATTTCATTCCATGCCATTACTTTATTATCAGATTTCGCCTTCCTCGCACCCAGCGAACGTGAGGGCAAAGGTGAAATTGTAATCGGATTGTCACCATCATCACGTCCGTAACATTGTTACTTTCGCACTCGGCTCACATAAATAACGAGAAGAACCTTGCTCCCACTTTCACCATGAGGTTGCTTTCACTTTCGATTTCGGCGAGCAGGACGGGACGATTTTACTTATCCTGTCTGCTCTGTTATTATCGTGTACCTTAAAACGTGTACTTTATGCTGCTTTAATTTTACTAGGCAGAGGAATGTATAGGAAATTTTGACACACTTTTACTAAAAAAAAATACTTAACAGATTGGACTTGACGCGTGAACTGGGTTAAAATGTGATTTTTCATGTTTTTTTTGGTACAGAATTGTTGGGAGGCCATGATTTTAAATAGTCTGCAAAAATTAGTGCAATACATCATTTTAAACATTGTGAATTATTGCTAAAGTGCATACAACTCTCAAGTGTCTCGGTAGTGAGCGCAATAGCTGATTGTACTCCGTGTGTTAATCAAGTGGACGAGACATGTTGAGACAAAGCTTCCTGGAACCGTTTTGCTCTACCCCACTTGATTAACACACGGAGTACAATCAGCTATTGCGCTCACTACCGAGACACTTGAGAGTTGTATGCACTCTAATAAAACGACGTAAATAAATCTTCTTTCTTATGGAAAAAAATTTTGTGAGACTTCAACACCTGTAGTTTGAATTTTGCAAAAAATAATGCAATTTATAAATTTGTAGATGTAGATGTTTTCTTTCGCAAGTGTAACATCGAAATTATAAGAAATTCTTTTACATGTTTAATAAAAAAAATGAAAAATGAAATTTTTGTGGGATGTTATTTTAATTAATTTGGAAAAATTAATCCGGCGTAGAGTTTTTGATGTAATTAATTAACAATTATTGTTTAATGAAGTCTTTTATGGCAAACATTTTTCTGCAGGGGGCTTCATACCTTGCTTCGCGAAAAAAATTTCCCTGATAAATTTTGGATGAAGCTAATCCATATGGAAAATTTGAGACTAATTTGTAAGAGCTGATATTTGCTGACAGTTGAATAAAGGTTTATATACAAATTTAACATGGAAATTACAAGAAATGCTGTTATACATACCTAATAAAACAAATAAATCACGCGATGTGTCATGTAATTTCATGAGAATACATAACTTTCGCTCTACTTATAGAGCAAATACTCACCCAAATGTAACAAATACAAGAAATTTTGTTACGATTATATATTAGTTATTTATGTATAAAATTCTTGATTTATACAACAAATAAATCACGCGATGCGTAATGTTCATGTAATTTCATGAGAATACATGACTTTCGTTCTACTTTCTCTCACATTGGGCTACATTCATACTAAAGTTTGTGGCTTTCTCTACCTCTCCGTGATCCTTAGCTATGTATAATTCGGTGAAAGTGAAAGCTGACATTAGTTCCGGTAAGTTCATATCTCGACGAATCAATAATTTACGTTGTGGTGTCATAAATTTGGTGAAATTTTAAACGAGAAAGAGGAGGAATAATGGCTCTTTTTGAAGTGAAAGCGTGTAAGGTACCTAAAGTGTGATTGTAATCGAGTTAATAATTCTGCGATGAAAATTAGATGAACTTCTTGGTGTAATGAGATGGAGGATGGGCTACGTTGTAAATAAACCATTATAAAATGGACGTAATAAATTGGCGAAAACCGTGTTTTTTTAACTTCATGTTTCTCTCTATCCTGGGTGAAATTAGTTTTAAAATGTATAACTGACAATGGAGGTCTCCCAACGTATGCTCACCGATTTGGACCAAACTAGCGTCAATCAATCACAAATATAATTAGTATGAAATTTGCAAATGGAACTATCTCCCAATGCGCAGGTTTGGCGGAGATATTTGCATAAAAAGAGGAGAAAACGCACCAAAAGGCTGGCATATTTTTCTTTTTCCAAATTTGCTGCGCATTTTTTCTGCTTTGAATGCAAATATCTCCGCCAAACCTGCGCATTGGGAGATAGTTCCATTTGCAAATTTCATACTAATTATATTTGTGATCGATTGACGCTAATTTGGTCAAAATCGGTGAGCATACGTTGGGAGACCTCCATTGTGAGTAAATGTGAAGATGAACGGGATATGTCCATCGTTAAATAAATAAATAGCTGCTGAATTTCAAAAATTGTGTAAAAATCTCTTACCTAGGTACATAAGTTGGATTGGATTTATAATTTAAATCTTTTTTTGCAAGCAGAACATACTTTTCACAGGTTCTTAAAAAATTGTCACAAATTTTGGATTTTCGGTGAAATGAATAACTTAGAAATGAAATGAGGACACAACTTTAGTAAAATATTTTGTTTTTGGGGTTGATTCGGTGTCGATAAAGAATTATTTAGTTTAGGTGAATATTTAAAATTGTTCAAGGTGACATTGAGATCCGGCTTTAATTATTTGAATTATACTTTTAGTAATTAAAAGTATTAAAATTTCCATATTTTTGGGCAGATTTGCTACCGATAATTAATTATTTTAGTTGTTTAATTAACCATGAAAATTGACTAAATGACGAAATAAGAAATTAATTTGACGTAATAATTACTTCGTAATAATTACGAAGTAATAATTATGAAGTAATAATTATGAAGTAATAATTGTTTCCAGAAATAAAGTTTAACAAATATACAAAAATTTGCAAAATTTTGATTTTGCAAGTCCTTCCATATTTTTGAGTGGCTGTGTCATACATCTTGAGATGTCCTAAGTCGACTATCGAATGTTCTGAAAATTACACGTCCCTTCCAGAAACCTGGATCTATACATTTCTCGCATCCATTGTATGCATTATGACTTTTACATTGCTTTAAAAAACTCCTGGCTGGCGCATCAGCTATTATTTTTGAAACCTTACAAAATATTTTCAAATTATTGTAACTAATCCCAACTCGCAAACTTTTTAACTCTGCTATCAAATCCATCAAGTATTCGTCAATACTTTCTGGTTTTGTCTTGCCATAAAATAAACCCACGACAAATACGCCGTACGTACTTTCTTCACACTTTGCTTGAATTGGCCAAAACTGGTTACTGTTACTCTTAGAAATGGGCAATCCATCAAAACTAAATATAAGGTTTAATTTAATTTCGCTACCAGAAGCAAGAATACAATTGGAATCTATTTGCCGTTTTATATTTTGAATAACATCAAAGTGTGCATATTGACCCTGACCGATAGTTTTCATAGAGTATTTAATTGAGTTTTTAAGCAATGTCCTACTATCCAATGGAAGAAATCTAAATTCTTGATAAAAGTTAAATATGCGTAGAAGATCGTTTAAAGCTACTCCCGTTATGTTATGTCGAAGCGACCAGTCCCTCAAGTCCCGTGTTAAATCTAAAATATTCCTATTATTTTCTACTACACCATTGTCGCTTAGTGAATCGGAAACTAATGGCTCGTCACTATTATGGATAACATTACTGCTTCTATCATTATTGCTAATATTACTACCTGAATCGCTATCCTCAACGACAGAATCACATATATCTAAATTTACAAGATTATTACTAATAGCAGGTATGTTTTTTGCACGAGTGAGATTCTCTCTAACCCGTTTTGCAATTATTCGCCTAATGTTTCTCGGTGATTTTCCATCTCGATCCATGATTATGATGCAATTCCCGAGGGAGCGTCGTCGTTGCACCTACTTTTTGAAGAACGAAACCAATTCATTGCTGCAGTTTGAATTATATCATCGGTGGGAATACGGCCGCTGGGATTTTTGGGATCGGGAACGGACTCAACTGTAAAGACGTTTCGCACGGTTTATGAAATTTGCAATCCAATTAAACATTAAATAGAGACCAACAATTAGAAAATTTTCTTCATTTTAGAATATATTTTAGCACCTTTTACGACTTCCAATAGTTTTAGGTTTTTCATCGATGTCTTGTTTCCTTTACCCGTAAAATTAATTCGCCTGCCAAATTCATTCGTAAATAATTTTTTCAAGATTTTTCTAGTGCTCGCCTAGATCTGTGTCGCAGTTGAAAATGCCAAATATTCAACCTAGTATCAAATATAAGAAAAAACATTAAAGTTTAATTATGCATGTAAAATATCTCGATTAAATCGTACCAGTAATTCGCGATTTTAATCCACCTCGAGCCAAGATTCAAACTCCGCCAGTGCTACCTCGTTGTCGAGGGGTAATTTTGGAATGGCACTGAAATTGGGAGCCTTCCTACCATCCGGCCTTTGTTTCACATTAATCAGTAAAGCCTTAATGTCTTTAATGTCTTCAGCCTGCTTTTCCAGCAAAGTTAGCACACTTTGCGTTGTCCCTGCAACGTGATTACAAAGCGTTAACATAATACATCAATTTTAATAAAATTATTTTGCTTGTACTAACTTGAAATCAACAGCCGTAAATCATTTAACTCCTGCGAATTTACAACAACAAAAGAAGTGTCTCCAGTTTCAACTTGATTTCCTACTTGTAGATTGCTTTGCTCTTCAGTTTCGGGAATTATTTCAGGAATGCTCAATGGTTGGTCTAAAAAGCATCACCATAATGATTAGTATAAAATATTTGTGGCAGTATTATAAGCCTACCCAGCTCCAAATTATCCAGAAGTGAGCCAGACGGAGGACTGTTTATGTTCGCGTCGCTATCCTCCTCATCGGATGAAGACGTTACATCCCCTCGTGTGCTGCTGGGCTGAATATCGGGAATTATCTTCTTGCTCCTTAATCTGCTTTCTGGTTCTGTTTCACTTTCCAAGTTGGAAGTGTCCTCGGCTACTTGAAGTTTTTTTGTCGCAACTTCATAATCATCTAAAATAATGATATTTGTTAGTAAATGTAAAATAATTGGAATGACTTCTCATAATTTGAATTAAATAGCTATTTACCGTAATTCCCAATAATCCTGGCGTAGCTAACTCTTCCCCACTTGACATCAGGAATAGCAGTGCCCTTTTTTTATCAAATTTCTAATACTTGGCCCAGAGTTTGGTGGCCAGAGACAAACTTTCTCTGCGGGGATAACCCAGTGACTTGGAACAAGCTCCACAGGCACTGAATTGTATTTATCAGGGGGGAATTCAATTATGTAATATTTTTTTGGCGACATTGAGACAACAGATAAATTAACAGGGAATTAAATTAACAGGGAATTTACGAGACTGCGAGGGTGGGAGAGAAAAGGAAATACCACGCTTCTCTTAGATTCAAACTCTCGCGCGTTGCCTGTCTCTTCGCACCCACCATTCATTGCGTATAAATTGCATGATTTTAACGCCTCATGTAATGTGGGTATTGACGAGATATTGGTGCGGTATTTTTACGCAATATCTCAGCACGTTTGGGTGCAATAATTTTTCAACCATAGGTTACAGTTTTTTAATGCAAATTTAGCGTGTCTCACGGTGCACACCAAACTTAGCACAAAATTTATGCAATAATCACGCCTTTTTTTGTTTGTTAAAAATTTTCACCATGGATGCGTTACTTTGACGCAAAAGTAATAATTTTTGTTGATCGGGGTGATATTTGGTTTTTAATTTTTCCTGAAAAATTTATAGCGAACGGAACGGGAATTGATGTTATATTATGATGCAGCATATGTTGGTGCATGTACATGCCAAATTTCGCATCGCTAGGTCAAAGTTTAAAATTGGCTAAAGTAGGTGAGAGCGCGTGCACGCTCGATTCCCATCAAAACAGGACTTTTTAGACATCGCAGATCCGAGCCCAGCTTCAGTACTTGTGATATAATCCGTAATAAAATTAGGAGGAGCTTAGCGAGATTTGCACTAAATATATTGTACACGCTAAATAAAGTTGTGTACAACCGGTTGAGTAAAGTGGAATTGGTTAATTTTTCTACAACATTGGTAAAAATTATTCCAACCTAAGACTAAAAACTAATCAACGGAGTTGTATAAATTGATCTTTACCCAACGTTGTAAATTTTGTAGTCATTACTTGTGAAAAATCGGTTTTCTACATGTATGACTAATTTTTACTCAATTATTGGTTAGTTTTTTTACAAATAATTGCAACAAATAAACCAACGTAAAAGTTGAAAAACTCGCTACAATAAAGAATAAATTTTATACATAAGTTGAGGAAATTTTACTCAACACTTGTATCAAAATTAACAAACCAGTTGTGTGGTCTTGGATGACGCTTCCCGCGAGCACAAAAATTCTTCAGTTCTTCTTGCCACCTCGCCGCTCTAGTTAGGTGGAGATTTTTGTTCCTGCAAATTAGTTAAAAATTTCTAGAAATGACGAAATTTTTGGAATCAATTCTCCAGACAGTTGGACTGGAAGTATTATTGGAAACTTTTAAAGGTAAGATTATATATTTGGTGAAAAATATAGGTGTTGTACTATTTATGTCATCCGAACTATTAAAAAATCGTGCAATGCTTGGTCATTATTATAATTATTTATTTTTCCAATTTTAGATAATGATTTTGACGACGAACTTCTTCGTCAAATTCCCGACTGCCCTGCTGGTTCACTTGAGGAACATCTGTTTGCCACGCTGGTCCCGTCAATAGGAAACAGACTAAAAATAATTGGTGCAATTAGGAAGGTTAGTGTAGTTAAGGAAGAAAATGTGTATATATGTAGCTTGTGTCATCGTTCCTTAAATTCTTTCAAATCTTTTTGGAATCATAGGGATTTTCACGAGATAACAGGGCCTTCAGCCAGAATAGATTGTCCCTTGTGTTTAATGACCTTCACAAATATTAACAATCTTAGAAAACACGTGCAAGCCAAAATATGCCCAAAATTACTTTCACAATTTAGTTTTCCAAAAATAACAAATAACCTTAATGATGAGAATATTTTGTCTCAAGAAAGTTTTTTTAGTCATGATTATTCTGCCAAAATAATTAATGAAGTGACAAATGATTATAAATTGTCATTTATGAGGTCACTTCAAATGTCTGGATCAATTCCCCTAGTAAAATCTGGGGAAATTCTTTGTGCTGCAAATTCTTTGGTTAATAGCATTGTTGATATTGCTAAGACTTTCCTACAACCAAATCTTTCCCACGATGAAATTATTATCAAATTAAACTCTTTAAAGGAACCATTTCCGAAACAAACTTCATCTCAATATCAAATTGAAAAATATTTAGAGAAAACAAAAATATTTATAGAAGCACAGGAACTACGACTTGGTTCGCATTTCAAATTCGACAATTCAGTAGGAGCGATGCGTGAGAAATTTGACAATATGTACTACTTCCGGATATCTGATATTCTTCCCGTAGCCCTTAAAAAATATACAGAGGTCACTGATGCCGGAGGACGTCTGAATCAGGATAAAAATATTATACGGGATTATCAGTCAGGGGAATTTGTCAGTAGTTTTACAGGAAATCCTCTTTTTATCCAAATTTACTATGACGATATTGAAATCTGCAATCCATTGGGTGCAAAAGCTAAAATCCACAAATTAGGAATGTTTTACTTCATAATTTCGAATTTTGCTCCTCATTTAAAGTCACAGCTTTCCGCAATATTCCCACTATTAATTGTTAAATCCAAATATATAAAATCATATGGGATGAATTCCATTCTTGCACCAATTGTAAATGAGCTTAATAAATTAAACAAAAGTATGCCTAAATCCGAGGAATTTGAAAACTCACCCTTTAGCAATGTCCAATTACTTCAAGTTTGTGGTGATAATCTAGCGCTTCATGCAATCCTTGGATTTTCTGAAAGTTTCAACGCCAATTTCCGTTGCCGTTTTTGCAAAGCAACCAAATCACAGAGCTACGTTGATGTGGAGGAGCGAAAAGAGTTGATTCGAAATAGATTGGGATACTCTGAAGATGTTGAGGTTCAAAACGTTAGTCTCACTGGCATAAAAGAACTATCCATAATTAATCAGATTGCTGGATTTCACGTTACTTCTAACTTTGCCCCCGATATTATGCACGACATATTTGAAGGAATTTGTATAATTGAATTAAAGCTGGTCCTCGAACATATTTTACAGAATAATTATTTTTCGCTAGTTGAAATTAATCATAGATTGTCATGTTGCTTGAAGAGAAATGGTCATCATTTAACAAAATTTCCCGAAATAGGCTCAAATATTATTGACGGCGACAAAAAGTCTTGTTTTTCTGCGTCAGAAATGAGTAATTTCTTTCTCGTCTTTCCTGCAGTTTTTGGTGACCGAATTCCATCCGACGATAAATATTGGAACTTAATACTTAAATTTCGGAGAATAATACGCATCGTGATGGCTCCAGTCATAACACGATCAAAATTATTACTTCTTCAGTTCTTAATAGCAGAGCATCATCAGATGTATATTGATTTAACGGGGAATAATTTAACTCCAAAATTTCATCACTTATTGCATTATCCAAACGCAATTAATCAGTTAGGCCCACTCAGAAATTACTGGTGTATGAGATTCGAAGCCAAGCACAGATTTGCTAAAACGGTTGGTAAAAACTCGTGCAACTTCAAGAATATTTCCAAAAGTGTCGCAAGGCGAATGTCCCTAAATATGGCGTTTTCACTTGGTTCCATTAACATTGAGCCAAAAGTTCAACTTAGTATTGGACCCGGCAATACATTTGACATTAGGGACATCAAAGATGATGTAGATTTTTCCACCATATCGTCAGCTCAGTGTAATAAAATATTTTGCCTTGATTTTGTTCAAATAAATGGTACAAAGATTTCTCCACTAAACTATTTTCTTATTGGAAGTTCTGAGTCGGGGCTGCAATTTTGTCAGGTGATTTTATGTTTTGTTCATGATGAGAGTGTAAAATTAGCCGTTGCTCGTATTCAATATGTTGAAAAATTTCAATATTCATACATTTTCAAAGTAGGAAAAAAAGACAAGGCTGAAATACTTGACCCCTTACAACTTGACCTTCAAAATCCATTGGTAGTGGTAAGGTCGTTCGATGAGTGTGATTCGGTGGATAATATTTGTTGTCCTATTGAGTTAATTTAGTTATAAGCTTATAATAATAATTCCCTTCTTTATCGTGATGCTCTCAATAATTAATTATATAGCGAACCAATTCGAAATCTGTGACGTCCAGCGTGCAACAGATTTCCGACGGTGACCAGTCAAGCCAGGAGGATAATATTGTTCAGTACTTAGTGGTTCGTAAATTTGTTAACATAACTTTATTTGTTTGGTTAAGTGCTAACTGTTTAAAAATATTAATGACTTCTAGGTAACTCCGCCCACCGCTACGCCACCTCGCCAAGAGGAAAACATATTTGTGGATGAATTACAAAATATTCCGGTTTCTCCAGATTGCAACGTCGCGGATCCCTTATTTGTAAGTTTAGTTGTAAGATATAATCTATCCTTTTTAATGAAATTATTTCTGTCAAGCAGGACGTTAAGCGGATTATTCTTACATCTGACGCTGATAAAGGAACAACCAAAGGAAGGAAACTTTTAGATGATTGCGTTGAAACAAATGTGATCAACTTTGCCCTTAAAAATCTGATAAAACGACCGACCGTGAATCATCTTGTTAAGCAATACTCATATTAGTAATTAATACTTAATTATCATTCACAAAACTATGCGTTACCTTATATGTTTTACAAAGTAATAAGTTGTACTAATTTTTGATTAATTTTAGCCCGCCTAAGTACGTGAAAGAAAATTTGGCCCAATGCATTGCAGTTCAATTGTTTCCTTCGCTCCCAGACTCTCAAAAATTGGATATAATTGTAAGAAAAATGTCAACACTTTAAAATATTTAAAATATTTTCCACTGAATTCAGATTTTTTGCTTCAATTTCAGAATTTATTCTACAGTGAGTCGAAGTTATCAAACTCCAAGAGAGAAGGCTCAGATGGAATTATTTACAGAAGAATTCCAGCATCCGGTTTGATTGAGGACAGATTGAAATATATTCGTCGAAAGAATGAAGTGAAGTGTCGAGTCCAACCGCCTAATGTGGAATCGTGCCAGGTTTTGGGTAGGCATATTATGCATGACAATTATTTAAAATTCCGGGAAAAATTACTAATTTTGTGAATTTATCAGATCCAACTGTAGACGAAGAGGAGAAAAAGTCTTGGCTTCTCAACTCTACCGTCTCAGGTCACTAAATACATGTCTGAGACCTACTGCTTGAGAACATCCCAATTCAGGAACACGAATAATTTAGCGGAAATGTTGGACCAATGGCCAAGGCTTCTCGACACTCCAGGAATGGTAACGTCACAACTTTCTAAGCGGACTAAATTTAAATTTGATAAAAACTATCGAACACCTTATAACTTTATGCAAAGATTGAGCTGGACTTCAAGACTTTATTTCCTGGCAAATGTGATAAGATGCTTCTGAAGTGGGCAGCAGTTTCAGTACAAATCTGCAGTTACGCCGAGAAAATCAAAACCAACTTGGACGAAATCGGCATAAAAAAACCTTTGTCGAATTGGTCTAAAGGTTAGAAATTAATAATTAAGAAATATAAAGTTAATCATCTAATTTTAGTTGTGAATTTGAGATTTGTAAATGTTTTTAATATTTACTTATTTACACGAAGATGACAAGACGGTTGGGGCGCTTGTGTTACTGCCATATTTGACTGCTAGCTCCGCCTATTCAAAGAAATCCAAAAAGAGGAAGAAAATAACATCGGGAGAGTCAGCTGAATTTTTCATACAAGTTGTACCGGTTAGCTAATTTATTTTATTGATTTGTTAGGTAATAATAATTGGTAATTCAACGGTGTTATGTTTATTTAGGTAACACATGACATTGAAAATTTTAGGACAATTGAGTCCAGACGAAAACAACCCTTTGTTCTGTGTGTCGGAGAATTGGGATCCCTTATAATACATGACTCCTACGTTATGGTGGAGACGAAACTTGTGAAAGCGTCGTCGCTAATTCATGCTGTGGATATCTGTTTCAAAATGTTTCATGTGCTTCAACTTCAATTCCCTGATGAATGTTACCCAGTCTGGTGCTTCTTCGATCACTCGATTTATCAAACTAAAGAAATTCGTTCACCCCCCTCGGCAGTTCTTTCACTTGGATCTCAAATAACTATAGATTAAGTTTATTAATATGCAACTACCTGACTTATAAATTAAGTACTAATCATGTTCTAGTTGTTAAACTTTGTACAAAATAATTATGTAATAATTTTAAAATATGACTTATATGAATAAAAACAATACTTTTTATTAAAGGTAAACAACATCATCTCTGAAATAATTATTAAATTCCAACCATTTATTGTGCACAATTTATCAAATTGTTGGAAAAAAATTACTCAATAATTGATCAGAATTTACCAAATAATTCAGCAAAATTCACTTAATAAAAGTGAAATTTTACTCAACTAATGTATAAAATCTTGTCAACCCATATTTTCGTATCGCGATTTAGTTGGGTTAATTTTACTCAACTTTTGATCAATTGGATTACTCAACCCCTGAGTGAAATTTTTACACAACAGTTGTGTCATCTCATTTCGGCCTCAACAGTTGGGTAAAATGTGATCAAACTTGGGTAAATTTTAATCAAATTTATTTAGCGTGTAATGCTAAAATATGCAGATTTTTTCGCGAATTTTTGTATATTCACCATTTCTTATCTATATTTAATAAATTTGTATTTCAACATTTCCGTTAGTTTACAAACCACGTTTAACTCGTACACTTGGTAAATATAAAATTGTCATTTGAAATTCGTCCACGCATAGTTTATTGAAATTTTGAATTTTTCGCTAACTTTACACTATTGCAAATCTGAAATATTTTTGTCAAAAAATTCAACTCCGAAATTTTTTGCGAGCATTGTTTTTGTTGCAAATGTTAATTTTATGGAATTAATGAATATGAATTTTTGAAAGTTCTACAAATCTCTTGAGCTGAACCTGTTTCTGCAAAAAGTAAGTCTATTTCCAAATTGTGGGCAGACTTAATCAGTTTTTGAAATATAAGCTGAAATATGTCAAATTATTTTCATTTGTTTTTTATGGCCAATTTTTTTGTACTTTCACAAACTTACGTTTTCTCCGGAAGTAGCAGAAGAATGAGATGACGGCGGTGACCATGGCGAGTGCGAGGATGGAGGGGAACACGATCAGAAGCCACGTGCTCAACGTGGACGCCTTGTTTTCATCCGAAGCACTCCCTCCATTACGACTTTCTTCAACACTTTCTCCCGGGGATTTTCCACCACCTGTGGATTAAACCCACACCGTAAAAACCATTAAAATTTAAGTATTTTGATTTTTGTGAAGTTGATTCATATTTTATTCCAATTTTGTTAATTATGGAACGACATGGTACCCAAAATTGAGTCGGTTGTAACCGAGTGGTTTTAATAATTACCGAAGGATATATCATCTACCTGGAGAAATTTATTCAGCACGTGGCTAGATGAGATTTATTGTTACCCTCCGGTAAAGAATTTACTACCAATTGTAGCCATCAAGTAAATAAATTTACACAATTTAATAGGGTACAAATATACGATTGAAATATTAAATTGTAATTGACAAATTTTAATGCCGAATTTAATTTTGTTTAAAAATTAATTTAACATTATAGGTTTTAGATTCGTCCATGGCGAGCCGCCAGGTATTGATTTCTCGGTATTAAAGTTACTATATACCGCGTGGTGTTAAATTAATAAAAAAATATCGGTTCGTAAAAATTTGCTAACGATCTGGTAAAACTTTAAGGCCGAATTATTCATACACGGTATCACTTATTAAGACCACATTTGTAGAGTCATATATGTATGAACACCGCCTGGTATTATTTTAATACTGGATTTCTAAGACTGCAGATAAATTTCGAACAAAGGTTAACTAGTGTACTTTGCTACCACGCTGGAATCAATTATTTACCGGGGAATATAAACTCAAAGTTTGTAAATAATTATAATCTTTACCCTTCCATAATAAATCGTTACCAACTCGGCATTAAACTTGTTCTACATTATTTAGCTTGAGTAAAATGCAAATTTTTTTCCCCGTTACCGTGAATGGTGGTGGCCAGTGGGGGAAGGGATCCGGTGAGGAATTCGTATTTAGCCAACGTGTCGCCGGCATGGTTTCCGCCCGTGACGCGAATGTCGTACCGCGTGTTGGCGTAAAGTCCCGTCAACGTGTACGACTTGGCAGAACCCTGGCAAAAAAATATTTCATGATAAATAAATTATTGGCAAAAATAGTCTGTAAAATATATGAATATGAAAAAAAAAATTTCATAACCCACACACAATTTTTTGTACTGGCAAACGCAAAAGAGGTAAGTGGGTTGATGCAGATGCAAAAAATATCCACTTTTTTTCCGATTTGAAATCTAGAGCGTCTTTGTGGAATAAACCGAAATACTTTTAAATTGCGAACTGGCGTTAAACCAGCGTATTTACGAATAATTTCAGAACAACAAGCAACAAGTGCGAACTTCACTTTCTGCGTGGAAATCATATCTTAAAATCGATTTATAAAATTTCCCATGCAAATGTGTATGGGAACAATGTAAAGTGCAAAATGTATAATATTTAGCAACACTTTTGAATCAAATTATTTTTAGGACAAGATTGTGTACAGATTTATGTATTTATCTTAACGACTTTTTTTTTGGCAGTTTCGATTGATTTTTTATGTATTTGGGCACAAAAAATATGCAACTGTTAAAAAAAAGTCCCGAATTTATGTGCAGACTTACATTGAGCTCGGCTGGGATTCGCATCCAGCTTTTTTCCTGGGACTGTTTGTACTCGATCATGAATCTGAGAATGGGGCAGCCGGCGTCCTTCCAAAGGTCCAGACGCACCACGATCGTCGAATGGTTCGTGAGAAGGGCTTCCTCCTTCTTGGGCGAAATTGGGGCTGCAAATTTGTTAATACCATTTTACGAAATTAAATACGAATATGTTAAACTGAGATTAATTAAGATTTTAGCTTTAAAAAAACAGTTTCAAGCAGCTTCACCAGTATCAGTATTTGTAACTGAAAAGATTCATTCAGAAATTATTTTATGTAAATTTCTGGATGTTACTTAAATTTTTTGATGAAATCGTTGAAAAATTATGTACTACAAAATAGCCGAAATATTAGCAAAATATCGTGTTTATTTATCGTGTATTTATCGTGTATTTATCGTGTTTATTTATCGTGTTTACCTATAAATATTGAAAAATATTTTTAATTCGTTGTTCGCCAAAATACAAAGTTGTTATAATTAAACCGTCGAAAACAAATGTTTAAATATTGAGCATATTTAAATTATGAACAGATATATTAAGGACCCGTTTGAGATTGAGAGCCCATATTTGCAAAAACTATGTTTCATAATTTTGCTCACCACCGCCTTTCGTGCTGCGGGTCAAAATATCTGAGGCTGGACCGGAGCCGATTTTGTTGACGGTGGTGATGTAGGGTTGGTAGGTGGATCCGCAGAGGAGCGGCTGCAGGGTGTGCCCCATGGCACGAGGGCCAACCTCCGTCGTCTCCTCCCAGTCGCCCCCGTCACGACGATAGCTCACCAAATAACCTATGAGGAAAACATGCTCTTATTTAGGAACACAATTATGCACATAGTTATGAACACAACTTTCCGACAATTTAGCATATTTGTTTGCATAAAATTTCGCAAATTTTGACTTATGATGCTCCTCTCTCATCGCAGATGACCATCTCGATTTTATTTCGAACAGTGGAAAAAATTTAGATTTAATAATGACGTGCAAATTATGCCGAATTTTTTTGCGAATTTTTTACAACTTCAACAAATATCGCCATCTGACCTTTGATCTATCATTCTCTAAATTATGCCGAATTTTTTTGCGAAATTTTTACAACGTCAACAAATATCGCCATCTGACCTTTGACCTATCATTTTCTTTCATAATCAGTCACGTGAATGAAAGTAAACCAGGTATGTTTAGGAACACAATTAATTAATATGCATAATCATGAATTTGCAAAAGTTCTACGCGAAATTATAAAAAGTTTGAAAAGTAAACTAGGTTTGGAGGATTTGAATACGTTTGTTTGCAAAAACTTCGCAAATTGTGACACATCGTCATTTTATCTCTATTTTATTTTAAATAGTGGAAAGAATCTAAATTAAATAATGATATGCAAATTCTACAGGATTTTTTTTTGTGCGAAATTATTATATTAAAAAAATAAATTCGCAATAAAATTCGCACAAAAGTTAAATCCAATTTCCAACGTTGACCAAAACTTTCCGCCAGTTTAGTAGATTTGCTTGCAAAAAATTTCGCAAATTGTGGCAAGTGAAGCACTTTATCTAATTTTATTTTAAATACTGAAAGAAATTTAAATTAAATAATGGCGTCCAAATATTAAAAACTGATTTTTATTTGCAGGATTTTTTGTTTCCGAAAAATGTTTACAATTTTTAGCAATGTCACCATTTCACCTTTGATCTGGCTCCCGCCTGAGGATGGGGCTTCCGGCGGGGTTTGCACTTTCACCGCGTACACCACGCTTTCACTCCCGTGCACGTTGGTGGATGTGCAGGTGTAATTTCCACCGTCTTCCACTCCGACATCTTTCACGACCAGTTTCGTATTTCCGCCTGGACCCGGTTGCACCTTAAAAAGGGTGGGATTCATAAAAATATAGCATTAAAATTAAAATTGGTTACCTATTTTTCTTATAAATATCTAAAATCAAGTTGTACAATTTACTATCGAGTTTTTTTAGATGCCAACTTTTAACTAAACGCACCATACAAAATTTTAGGATTATGTGTGTAAGTAAACAATGGGCTTGGTAACATTGTAAAAGCCGTAAATTAAGTATGTAAACTTACATACTTTTACTAAATGTTACAAATATTTCTAACGAAAATTAGCTTCAAAATTTTTGTTCAACTTAAGTGATCGAGTGAATATTCAATAATATTGCTCAATATTTCTGAAAATGTTAAAAATCTTTGACACTTTTTCCCAAAAATTTGTATTTACCAATGTATAACGTGGATATTTGATAATTTTAGAAACTATTTGAGCCAAGGAAATAAAGAAACAGGATTTTCCATTAAATTTATGTACTTATGCGAAGAATGAGAAGGAATGAGGCCAAAAATAAAAATTCATAAAATTTTGAAACGTAATTTGAATAATTTAGATTTATATTGTACAGTATGTTTTTGTCATAGGATTAGATTTGTGATCTCGTAAACCCATCTAATTGATAAAAGATATCAGAAGGAAATAAAATCCTCACAAAAAAACTATTTAGATGAATTAATTACAATTTCAGAAGCATTTAAGTTGAAAAATTATTAAATACATGCCCATACAATTGCGGGATAATGAGGCTGGGCTGGGTAAATCCTATAGTTGTTTTGCAAATGTTTTTTTTCGAAATCTCACAAAATTTCGCAAGTTATGTTCAATTTTGCGAAATAAATATGCGAAAGGTTAGCAAACCTATAAAAAAATGATGAGTGACAATGGCTTTATTTTCACAATAAAAATTCCGACGTGTCCTTTAAGGCAGGCAGTGGTGGCCGAGTGGTCATCACACTGTGCTTCAAGCCGAATGGAGGTTCTGGGTTCAATTCCCAGTACTGGCTGAGAGTTTTTTCCCTTGTGGTTTTCCTCTCTGACTTGTTGCACAGGTCTGTGCGGTGTCCATTGCACTACGGACCCCATAGTTAGGAACCTGTGACCATCTATTTCTCACTTATGTGAGGTTTGGTTCACTTGTAATTCAAATGTAATGGCTAAAATTGGGAATCAATAAAGACGACCTTTAAAACTGGTAGAACACTGGAGTCATACCCGTTCAAAAAAACTTTTTTCATTCAAAGTTCAGTCATCCCGATTTCTGACTGAAGATTTTCATTCATATTTAGTCATTTTCTTTCAAATTCATTTCACTTCACTTCATCTGACTTCATTTCTTACTTCGCCCCATGTATTAAGCGTAGGGTGAAAAATGAAATGAGTCAGAAATCCTTTCATTCAGTCATTCATCTGAATCTTTCACTCATTTAGGAAATTCATTTTCATTCAATATCATTCACTATCATAATCAGTCACATGAATGAAAGTGAAGAGGTATGACATGAGTTCAGAAATCCATCCGAAAATCCAAAATCCACTTCCTTTCACTTTGAAGGAATACCGTTTTGATGATGATCATCATCCGGCAGCCTTCTCTTCCTCCTCATCATCATCAACTTCCTTCGGCTTTCTCTTTTTTTTCTTTCTGTTTAAAAAAATCTATTTCATGCTGCTGCTGTTCAACCCGTCAAATTCGGATTCGGGGAAAATATGACGGGAGAAAGTGAAGTGCGCCGGATGGGTGTACTCAAGCCAAAGTTGAGAAAACATAATTTTTACGAGGCTTCTACTACGATAAAAAAAATTTAAACTTATGTTTATGCCAAATAATTTTCTGAGGTGGATATCTAAAACATGGTCGGGTTGGCAAATCTTTATTTTAAATTGTATCCTTACATTTTTTCGAAAATTTTGTAGTACAGAAAGTACGTACAATTTGTGCTTTCAAGCCAAAGTTAGGAAATGCTGGTGGAATTTTTTGTTCCCTTAAACTGCGAGAGTTAAACGGCAACTAATATATTTTTGATTTGTTTTTATACAAAATAGTTTTCTAAGATTCCTCAAACGAATGAGTGGGTTAGTTGGCCATGGAGAAATTCTTTTGTCAAATTTTTATTTTAAATTTGCTCCACATTTTTTTCGAAAATCATGCAATGGGAAAGTCCTTCAATAGGTGTATTAAAGCCAAAGCATAGATATAGAGTAGAATAGATCAGGCTTCTTCCATATAGTCAATGTTAAAAACTCGGCAATGTTTTTGAGGTGGGACTAAACTCTGCCTGTGTCTACAAACCAAGCTTGTTAAACTCCGTATTTTATTATTTGATACCACTTATTTTTATTTTGGCGTTTAAATCATACTAAATTGAATAATTTGTCAAATAATAATTTTTTAATGATGTGCAAGCGTGCTAAGCATTCCATGCGCTACCGTGCAACCATGCGTTATCCCCAAATTATCCCCAAATTCTCCTCCATGCCGAGACGCTTTTTTCAAAAGTAGCCGAATCTACTCTAATCTATATCTATGAGCCAAAGTTAGGATTCTGAATTTTTTTGCCAGACTTGAACGACAGCTAATATATTTTGGCATTTTTTTATACTAAATGATTTTTTGAGATGGGTCGACCGTAGGAAGTACGACAATGAAGGGATTTTGTATCGAATTTTCATTCTTAATTTTATCCTTACTTTTTGGGAAATGATGCAATATAGAAAGTCCGTATAATGGGTGCTTTTAAGCAAAAGTTAGGGAATGATGGTGAATTTTGTAAGACTTATTTCTCATAAACTGCGAGACTTCAGCGACAACTAATTCATTTTGGAGTTTTTTTTATATACAAAAATGTCTAAGATGTCTGAGTTTGGGTTCGATGAGAATGAGAAATTATGTATAGAATTTTCATTCATTTTTTTATCTTTAATCTTTTCGAAAATTATGCATGTAATTAATAATAATGAGACAATTCACGCAGCCCTTAGAAACTTTGCAAAATCTGTAAATTGTATACAATAATTGTACAAAACTGTTACAAAATAGATAGATTTACGCCCTTAGGCGGAGCAAATTTATAGAAATTTGGAAGGAAATTTACAAAAATTTGGCAGCTAATTTTCCTCTGAAATATTTGTAAAATTTTGTCAAAGTTTGTAAGTTTACGGAATTTACGGACTTTACAAGACCAACGTTACAACAAAATTTGATGTGAGTATGACCAAAATTTATGCAATAATGCGTGCACGAATTTGAGTTTTTAGACGATCTTTCTCAACTTTGACTTGATTGGTGTGCTCTTTTTGTCCGCTAAATTCGTACTTTTGTTGATACGTCTATCACACAAAAAAGTGTCAAAGGTTCATTCAGAGGATGGAAAAGAGGGAGGAAGTCGGGAGAGGAAAACGCTATAAATCAGAAAATAGAAGAAAAAACGACGGGACAAAAAAGGAGGATAAATCATACCGCGTAGATTTTGTGATGAGAATAAGTTTCTTTATGCGGATTATGTCACGAGTAAAGTAAGCTGGATTTTTTGCATGTTTATTAAACCTAAACAATATTTAGTTTGATTACAAAATTGTGCAAAAATGAATCATAAAAGTATGATTGGTTTCGCATTTTTTGTTTGCTAGTTTTTGTCCCCTAAAAATATAAGTCTTAAATGACGATTCTAATCAGAAATATATTATAATTTGCAAAAAGCTAATGAATACATATAGCTGCACACCTGTGGTGTTAATAAACAACGAAAAATCGGACGTGGTTAAATATTGCAAGAAATAAAGATGAATAAAAAAATAGTACCAATTCGTAGTAATTTAAAAAACGGCCAAATACAAATATTTCTGAAACTCAAGAATTCCAAAAGAAATAAACAATTCTATGAACCTCAGTCTTGAAGGGATCTGATCTTCAAATGAGTAAATATGGTGCTGAATCATTATTATTTTACGTTGGCGTCAAAATCTTACTAAACTTTATATCTCAAACCTTATTCTTTCACTGTTCGTCGGAGACCTAACCTAATTCCTTGCCAACTTGTGCCGTAAAGGGTTAAGTTATAACATTGGCGCAAGTAACCTTGTTAATTTGCATATCGACTACAGATTTTATCTTAAGAAACATTCAAACAAACAAATTTAGAACCTTTTCCGAATTTTTTTGTACTCACCTCTCGCTTCCCGTTTCCCCCATGGATTTCTCCACCACCGTTGAAGCTCCACTCCACCGTGGGTTCCGGCACACCCACTGCGACGCAATCCAATCCCAGCTCTTTCTTCCACGGAATTTCCACCGTTACAGAAAATGTCGCTATTTTCGCGGAAACTGGAAATTGGGGACAGTAAATATTTGAAAATTCCAGAGATAGGGCTGCATTTCAGGACCAACTTCTCATCTGGTTGTGAAAGTATAATTACAACCTGGAGAATGGGCTTATCGTGAATTTAATGGGAGTAATAAAGTTGGGGAGAAAGAGTAATTTGTTCCGAAGAGGAGCAATTATTTCGAGCAAAATGAGCAATTTAGCTCAAAACTTGATTACTTTCTCCGTCTCTCGTGGACTGTGTGCATACACTGGTAAAAATTTGGTAGAGTCACATATATACTCTGTACTGGTATTGATTTGGGAATAACTTCCTACCGGATTGGTAGTAGTTTGTTTCGTGCCGGTATATTTTTTATCACACAGCATGACTAAACGGTAATGTCCAAGTGTTATATTTTACTTGTGGTAAATTTTTCATTACCACAACTAAATTCGCTTTCTTGGTTGGGCAAGGCGTAGTGTTTAGAAATACATCCTAACTGTTCTTAATGTAGGTCAAAATTCCCCGGAAATCTATCACATGATTTTTACACGATGCCCGCCTGCCTAGAGAAATGTGGATATTACTTATGGTTTGGGCGGAAAATTTGCCATGTTATTGACAGTTGATGAATTTTTTTATGCTAATTTTATGCTAATTTTTGGCGGAGCTAATTTGCATCGGGATATTTGTGTAACAAGGTAAAATTGATAAATTTATTGGTTCCGTTTACACAATGGTGGACACAGATTAATATTAATTTAATGAAAGTTTGATATACGCTTTGTAAAAGTTGTGCAGTTTAACTTGGTTACAAATTTTAGTGTAAATTGTGTTTTGTAAATTTGAATAAGTTGTACGTCATTTTGAACTATGCTGTTTATAATTTATCGCCTTTTTTTTATAGTTTTTAGATAGGGCACCAAGGACGCCGAATACCGTTGACAATGGTTCGTGTCGAGAGTAAATATTGAGTAAAGTTTACGCACGAAATTTTGCAAACTTCGCAAATTTCGTAAACTAAATGCCTGAAATTATATGACTCGTTACGTTTGTTGTTTGTGGGGGTGGTGGCGTTGATTCTTTTGGTGGGTGTGCCCTCCCCCACTCGAGTCGTGCAACTCACCCAGAATTCGTACGTGGAGGCCTCCTTCAGCCCCACCCACTCCAGACGAAGGTCCGGAAACGAAGCAACCCCCAAATTTCGGTCGTTCATGTACTACATGACTCAAACCCCACGTGGGAGCAATCATAAGGGTTCGTATTTTTGAAGTTGCTTCCAAAAATTATATGAAATACGAACTTGTAAGAAAATGTTGGTATAAGGTCTCAGGTCATGACCTTGAAGGTCACAGGTCATATGAACGACAAATGTGTCCTCTTTACCCCCCTCAAAAATGGTGTTATTCGAAAGATAATCTCAAGGGCTTCAACTTTAGTCCTTATCACTTATGCTCTCCGACCACACCCAAGGCCTGTGGGAGTGGTTAAAGTTTGCATCAATTTCTTACAAATAAATATTGAAGAAACTTTAACCACTCCCACAGGCCTTGGGTGTGGTCGGAGAGCATAAGTGATAAGGACTAAAGTTGAAGCCCTTGAGATTATCTTTCGAATAACATTTTTGAGGGGGGTAAAGAGGACACATTTGTCGTTCATATGACCTTTGACCTTCAAGGTCATGACCTGAGACCTTATACCAACATTTTCTTACAAGTTCGTATTTCATATAATTTTTGGAAGCAACTTCAAAAATACGAACCCTTATGATTGCTCCCACGTGGGGTTTGAGTCATGTCAGGACAACGTTATATTTAGAATAGGGACACTTTTCGAGAAATAGCTTGCAAAATAACCCTGCAAAATAAAACCATGACCGATTTGTGGGAAGGAAAAAATTCGAATGCAAGTTCTGTTTTAAAGAAAAAAGAAGCAAATTACTTATGCAAACTTTTGTAAGTTATGTTAATTTAACAATATTGTCGTTAGAACACTTATTTGAAGCCTTTGCGAATTGGAACCTTCAAGGTCCAGAAAATACAAATTGCCAATTTTTAAATCACATACCTCCACCGTTTTGAAATGATATCCATGTAAATCGGCCAAATTTCTGTGTAAATGTGAATGAAGCAAGCTCCTCCCATTTTCACCCGTTATTTCTACACCTTCATTTCCATCCTCTCGTGAAAGCAGCACGGGGTGATCCGCCAGAGCGAGGGAGAGTTCTCGGTAGCCGAGATAGTAGCCTAAAATCTGCCCGTGCCAGAGCGCCCTTTCCGGCGGGGCCCAACGGACCTGTTCAAAAACACTTTATTCATTCAAAGTTCAGTCATCCCGATTTTTGACTGAAGATTTTCATCCACATTCATTTCATTTCACATCATCTGACTTCATTTCTTACTTCGCCCCATGTATTAAGCATAGGGTGAAAAATGAAGGAGTGAAAAATCCTTTCATTCACAGTCATTCATCTGAAGTGACTGAATCTTTCACTCATTTTCATTCAAATCACAATAAATTCATTTTCATTCACTATCATTCTGTCATAATCAGTCATATGAATGAAGGTGAACAGGTATGAACGGACCCTCAGTCTCGTGGAGGAATCCGCTTCCGCCACGATTTCGATGGGCGGGCCTTCGGGGGCTTCTTCGGTCGTGGTGACCTGCACGACTTCCGAGGGGGGGCTGAAGCCGACCCCGTTTTGGGCGAGGACGCGGACATGATAAGTCGACGAAGGGGTGAGGCCTTCAACGAGCGCGGTGGATTGGGTCGCGGGAACGGCGAGTTCTTCGACTTCGGCTTCGGTCCAGGTTTCTAGAATGGAAGAAATATAGTAGTTTTAGGCGGGAATTTGATTTAAATTCAAATTAGGATTTTATTGATATTTACATTCAACATAGGATGATAACAAAATCGTGTAGTCACTACGATGTTCTACCAAGCAAACAAAGATTTAACGCCGAATGCTATCATAAAAATTTCCGAAAAACTCCAATTTGACGGTTTCCTGTGGTTAGAAATTTGGTAACAAAGTCTCCCGAAAGTGTTTATTACCAGCGTGGCAACAGGTGGCAAAGATTCATCGCAGAATTGCACCATAAATTTTCACGAAACTCAAATTTGGCATTTCCCTAGCAGATATTGGTAACAATTTTGAATCTCCTGTAAATTATTGTTACCAGTTTGGCAACAACCTAGGGTGACGATTTTAGTACTAATGTCCTGACGCATACATTTTGTACCTTAAAGTAATATTTTTCCCCGAATACTCTTAAAATATGTATGTGCTTGTTATTCCAGCAATTCTAGCAAATTTATTTCTTGCTATTTATGTAACTGCCAACGGCAGTTCTATGCCATGACACGTCTCATTTGCATACCAACCTCATTAAAAACCTAAGTTTCAACAGGTTGGACGCGTTTGATTTCTTTCTCCAATTAAAAACATTTACCAAAATTCATAACATTTTCTCATTAAATGTATTCAAATTATTTCTTTCCTTCCCGAAAACATTTCTCGTCTTGTGAGTCACGACATTAATTTCTTTCTTCTCTTCTGAGCCAAAGGAGGAGAAAGTGGAGAAAGTGAAGCTAATAATAAAATAGTAATAATGATAACAAAACAAGCATGAAACAAGCCGGGCATGAACGAGCTTCATCTGGGGAAGGATTTCTTTGCGAGTCGCGTGAACTTAGCCGTGTCCGGAATCTAATTTAATGGACTTCTTTCGGGAAAATAATTAAGAAATCTTCAAAACGAAATATACGGACCTCGCTTTTCACTTTCTTTCCCTTTGAGTTTCACTCCGCCTCCCAATCATAAATCCCAGTGTGGGAGGTCAAAAATCGTACAAAATTGTCCAAAATAATTTTGGACAGCCAAAATATTAAAAATCCATTGGAAAATAGGACAAAATGTTTCAAGTTCTGTATTAACGACGTTTTCTGAAAATTTGCATACGCACATACATGCAAAGGTCCATTCATATTTTGGGAATTTTGGTGTTTGTGCAGTACAACAAAATTTGAAAAACTTTTGTTTTAGTATGCTTTCATATATTCTTTATTATTTCTTTAATATTCTTTGTTTGTAAGAAGCTTTCTAACCATTGGTCACAAAAATGCTTAAAATTAATACGAGATTGCTTACGCGTCAACGGAGTATCTATAAATTACAAATGAAATACTAGCAACATTTTAGCCCTATTTGTTCTATTTTGAACACGCTTGGACATTTTTGGATGTCCCAAACAGGGTTAAAGCGGGTTTTAACGAATATTTTGGCCAGTGGTTAAAACCCGAGCGAAACCCTGCTAAATACCAACCCACCCCGGACCCGAGCATGTTCCATATTCGTGTAGTAAATTAAACTTAAACTTAAAATTAAAATGTGAAGTGAAATGAAATGAAATTCAAAGTGGCCCCTGGAATGGATGAGATGAAAGGTAATTAATTTGCAAAAGGAAATACTGAACGTACGGGCAGGTTGTCATATTTACACTGCTAAAAATCTGGTAGGGTCACATATATACAAAGAAAAAAAAGAGAAAGTTGGAAAAATCGATAAAACGAAGACAGTTTTAATAGTAACGGAATGTAAGTAATTAGAGATGGTATGAAAATGGGACAAATTGGAAAATGGTAAATAATAAGTTTCTGAAAGAAATCTGTATGCCTGTATTAAAAATGTAAAGTACAACCTTCATTGTGACAAATCTGTTGTTTCAAATACAGCTTATTGATTCACCCTTTTTTTATTTTGACGTAAAATTTGTACAGGTTTTTATAAATCGTATCTTTCCGAGATTTTAGCTTTTTCACGCAGGCCTTGGTAACTTTGTAAAATCCGTAAGTTCTGTAAACTTTAAATATTTCCAGAGAAAATTAGCTCCCAAAATTTTATAAACTTGCTTAGATCGAGGTCTTTTTTTGTTGTAAAAGGCTGTAAATTTATTTTACAGTACGCAAGAGTTTACAAAGTAATCACTGAATTACCTGTTTTTTAAAATATATATTTGAATAAATTCTTTTGGAAGTAGAGATGCATTCACGCTTTTGAGACAAACTAAAATACGTTTCTCATGCTTACATAAATACATACATACATAATTTCTCTTGCTGGTGATGGTGAGGATGAATTTGCATTTGCGAAATAATTTTGCGAAATTAGAACATGCCCAATTGCTGGGTAAATTTGTGAAAAAAATCTCATGGTTTTCCAGAAAAATGTTTGCGAAATCTCTCAAATTTAGCAAGTTATGTTGTTATGTTTAATTTGCGAGATATGCAAAGGTTGAAGTGAGTATGCTCGAAATTAAACTATTTGTAATGATTTGTACAGTTTGTACGTCAAAGTAAAAAATTGGTGTAAGCGTTTAACTGTTTATGTTTCTAGGTCCTAAGGTTATCAAATTTGGTTTGATTGATATATGTGTCTAGTGATGGTAATCCGTAACCGATCCTATCCTAGGATCGTAAAAACTCGGATAGGATCGGATTTTCACACGGATCGGATAGAGGATCCGAGGATCAGACAATCCGATCCGATCCGAACCGAAGAAATCCTAGGATCGCACAGGATCCTCGGATCATCCGATGTAAACTCGTTTCACATTTGGTGAGTTCATCACATGGCGTACATTACCCGAATGAGCCGAATTATCCTAAAAATAACTCGTGTAAAATAATAGGATAATTCGGCTCATTCGGATAATGTACGATGTGATGAACTCACCAAAAACCGTTCCAATAAATAAAAGCAGCTGGTTAAGTTGTTCCATAGTTAGACACAAGGTGTCTCACACATATCAAGCGAATCTTGGATCATCCGCGGATATCCTACGATTCTAGGATCGGATCGCATCGGATTTCGAGTAGAACCGGGAGCCGATCCGATCCAAAAGCGAGCAAATCCGATCCGATCCGATCCTGTATTTATCCGATCCTATCCTACGGATCGGTTAATTTAGGATACGGATTACCATCCCTATATGTGTCTGATAAAAATTGTAGGTGAAACTAAAAAAATATATAATTCACTGGCTAACACTGTTGACTGTCAAACCAAAATTTGACACACTTAAATATTCACCACGGACGAGAAATCAATTTATATTTCATACACGCACACACAAAAATTTATTGGACTTTTATTTTGTCCTCGAAACCGCATGAAATTATTGGAAATAAACCGTAGTAAAGTTAGAAGTACCTCAGCCTGCAGCAATGGTTTGATATAACTATGCACCAAAGGTGCTCAATAATCGTAGATAGTGGGTATAAAATTTCTGTAATTTTGTGCCAATGGTGCATTATAATCGGACAGAACAGGTATAGAATTTTGACATAATTCTACACAAATAGTGCTGGCGGCGGCGAGATAACAAATATCTAATTTTGACGCAATATCGAATTTTGTCAGGCCGGAAAGAAACTGCACTACAGGCGCAAAATTAAGGGATAACGTAGGCACAAGTTCGATATTGTTTTGCATCAAAGGTGCAGAATAAGCGGACAACGGAGATACATAATTTTGATTTAATTTAATTTGGCACTAATGGTGCAGGAGAAATGGGGAAAATTGATAGACAATTTTGACATGATTTAAAGAATTTGTAGACGACAAGTAAAGTCCATGGTGGATCGATTTGTTCAAATGATTCGCACCATTTGCATCACTGAATGTTCGATACCAATGGTGCTACGAAGTTTAGCGATAATGGACGGGGGAGTTTTTAATTTGCATCAATTGATGCAAAAAACTCGTCAACAGACGGACGGACGGACGGACAAGAGGAATTCAATAGCTACCGTGCTTCGCAGGGTGAGCTAATAATGACAAATCAGGGGAAAATTTATATAATTCTAAAAATCAAACCTTGTTGAAATCTTACCTGAGGGGAACTTGCTCTGAATGATGAAGTTGATGAGGGGGCTGTTCCCGTTGAAGTTTTCCAGCCAGGAAATCCCCACCGACCGGCTCCCCACCTCGACCACGCGCAAATTACCCGGCTGCTCCGGGGGCTCTGGAAGTAATCAGTGCAAAATTTAGCAATAACAATTTTATTTTCTGGATATACTTTTCATCTACTCGGAAACATGGATTTGGAAGAGAACGGCAAATTTTTGGCAAAAAAGGTTACACACATTTTTGACTGAACTTTAAAAGAGGACATGTTCTTTTTTTAAAATACATTTGGTTTTGCATTTCTTAAACGTTCAACAAAACCAGAGTCTTGATCTATTCTTAGTCTTAAAATTATTTGTAATTCATAATTTAATTATTTTTGCCACGGAATATTGCCATATGTTTTAGCAAAAGCTAAATTTGCACAAGAAAAGACGGAATTGAGTTTATAATTATAATTCCCTGAATTTTAAACAAGCATTTTTTTATATTTTTAAAATTGCTTGATTTCATTCAACTCAGAAGTGTTGTTTTTGGATTTAAGTAAATTTAGCAATTTTTTAGCAAATTAATTTTGACACAAAAAATAATCTAGGATAGAATTCTACTTTTTTAAAAAATATTTTTGGTACGAATTTTATGATATTTTAAACACGATCTAAATATGATTTTTTCTACTTATTTTTGAAGACATTTCAGTTTTTGCGTACCTTGCACCTTGAGCGAGACGATGGTGTGATCTGACCCGAACGGGTTGGAAGCTCGGCAAGAATAAGCTCCAGAATCGCTCCGGTCAACGGAGGCTATCAACAATTCGGATAAAATACCATCCTCCAATTCTTGCTGGCGAAATGTGTAGCTAAAAATTGCAAACTTTGGTCAAAATCATTTCAAACTTATCAGGAAACCAGGGAATTTTGAATAATTTGGAAATAGGCGATTTTGAATAAATGATTGAATCGCGTCATGTGGAATTTATAAGGTTGTCCAATAATTTGCAAAATTATTGCTAGTGTAAATAAATTGTGCCACTTTACATATTTTTCTACACTTACTCAAATCTTAATCAAATCCTTTTTTAAGTAAAAGTTACAAAAATTATTTTGCAAAATTTAAAGAATTTAAAAAGTTACAGCGAAGAATTGCCTCCGTTTAGTATACCAATTTTGCAATCACGTTATTTACAGTGTTAAAGTTCCGAATCCGTTTACCATTTACAAAATCCAATCAAATAGTGCTTCTTTATCGTAAAAGTATCATTTTTTTCTAATAAAAATTGGAAATAGATTTACACCTGTGATTCGAATGTGGCCCAATTTTGCCGTGTTTGTTGCCCCATTCGATCAGAATTGGAAGGTCGCCACCGACTCGGTAGCCAAGAATCGCTTTCTCCCCGACGCGCACGGAAATCAGGGAGTTTGCTGATTGTTCTTCAGTGTTAAATTTGGCCGGTGCTGAAACCCTTACTGAAATACTTACATAATTTATCTATTTAATTAGCGAATTAGTTTGTACTGATTGTGCAAATATTACTGAGGAAATTCAGTGGTACAGATGTTTCCGCAGAAATTGTTATTTCGTTTCATACGTTTTTTAGTCATATGCAGGGTCCTTTGACTGTTTCCTTGGAGGATTTCTAGACAAAAATTCTCCAAATTTTTTTTTACAGATTTTGAAGTTTGGGAATATGCGCTATTTTTGCTGCGAGAGTTTAGTTGTCAAGAAAAATTATTTTAAAGTAAGTGTTTTACACACCGTCGTAAAATGACAACGATTTAATTTAATTGCAAATTAAAATAGTTATAAAATATTTGAACTAGAATCGGTATCAAAAACGGCAATTAAAAATTTTTCGCATGCATTTATGACGTTTTATAGAATATTTTATTTTTCTTGACAACCAAGCTCTCCCAGCAAAAATAGTCAGTGAGGGATTTCACGTCAAGTTCGTAACCTACGTAGCTGCGTTAGGTTTGTAAGTTTACACACTCTTGACGTGAGTTGACTTTGTAAACATTTTCGTAAACATTTTTTAGTAAAAAAAATATCGCATCTAAAACGTCATCAAAATGTTGCTAGCCAACTTTATCCTAGCGTACACCAAATGACATGTAATTTTTTTGAATTTTTTTGCCTGAAATATCAGTTTTTCAGGAATTACACAGCCATTTCTTATGTCACAAAATTCTATAATATACCAAAATGATCGTATGATCAAGACCGATCGATTGATACCCCTCTGGATGAAGTGTGTCAATTTAGCCCAGATTTGACATTTGGGGGCTGGTCGGATAGCGACCAATATTTTCGGCTGGCAGCAATCTTTTGTTAAATAATTAAATTAATTTGCATGTCGGGACGAGATCACATAAAAATGTACAATAGACAATTCGTCTCTAAGACAATTTCAACCGAAAATTCAGATCTCAAACACTCGAATTATTTACGAACTTTTGTTTACGAACCAAAAACGTGCTTTTGAAGTGCGTAAGTTTCGTAAAAGTTCGTAAGTCAATTTTCCTTAGAAATGTGTGTAAAAGTTCGTAAAAGTTTGTAAGCTTACAAACCTTACGCAGTTACGAAGGTTACAAACTGTGACGTGAGTTCCCTCAGTATTCTCAAACTTTAAAATCTGTAAAAAAAATTTGGAGAATTTTTGAACTGACATGACCCTGTCTAGAAATCCTCCAAGGAAACAGTCAAAAGACCCTGGGCATATGTCAACGACGTTAACCGTTTTTGGTGGAATAATATGTAACTTTTAGATACGATAGATGCAGATAGTGCAGTACATAAAAATTCTGATAATTTCTATAATTATTGTAAATTCTGTATTTTTTCAAATTCTTTGTTTTCATAAATTTTGTAAATTCTGTGAATTTTATAAATTCTGTAGCTACAAATATGTTAAAGCTTATAATGGAAAATAGATGTACTCAATTTTTCCACTGCTAGCATCTACATAATTACCTTTATTTTGTTTTCTCAACCATCCATGAAATATAATTAGGTGGGTAAATTGGTCCCTACTATTTTTATATGAAATTTTTTACACCCTTATAAACACTACATCTACTTCTAGATTCTCGATCTAATCTCGATTTTTTTCATCCTATTAAATTATCAATAAAAAGTGAAAGCAAAATATTAATCAAGCCTAAAACCAAACCACATATTCTTTTTCTCCAAATACTGACTTCCAACCAATTCGCACTTAATAAAATCTCTCACGGAGAAAGTTCCCAGCTCAATGGCAGATTTAATCCCATCCATAAATCAGAAAATCTCGAGATAAGTTTATCTTTCGGCTACTTTCACTTCGCCAACTATTTGGCTCATGTCACAAATATTATCTTATCTTTGCCTCATCTCATCTCAGCTCATGAATTGATTCTACACCTTCTTCTACACTCACTTTTTACTTACATTCATCAATATTTACACAGATGGGAAACTTTCTCTGAGCAAGAAAACCTAGATTTTCGTTTCTTCTTGTTGCACAAGGTTTTTTTCTGCTTTGGCAAAAATAACAAAGCAGAAGAGCGATATTTTTTAGCCTGGAGAGACAACTCGGGACAAATCCTGGACTCAATTCGCTTTCACTTGTTGCTTTCCCTTTGATTTTGCAGGGACAGGAGTATCAGTGTCTTGTGCATTACGAGAGGATGAGGGTAGCTTATCATCAGTGATGAGTAGCCGGGGGATAGCAATAGGTTTTAACAACATAGGGTTTGTAATGCTGTTGGTTTTTTTTATTATTTGATTTAATGTGGTATTTAAGTAGCGGGGTAGTCGTAAAACTTTGTGTGCCATTTTCGTAAGTTTTTTTCTACATCACAATTTCAGTTTTTTGTGTCAAAAGTTCAATTTCTTAAACTTAAAATTTGCATTTTAGTGTACAGGTTAAACGTCGAAGTAAAAAATTGTGATAAATATGTAATAATTTAACTTCAAAGATAAATGAGTAACAATTCATCAATTAATTATGACGGAACTCATTGTAAAATTCGAAAATTCTATAAACTTACAAACTGTTACTTGCAAAATATTTCAAGTATTTGAAAGGAAAATTTAGCCCACAAATTTGTTTAAACTTGCTCAGATCAAACGCGTCTCCTTATTTTGTAAAAGTTTAAAGTTTAATTTTAAAAGAACTGCAGAAATTGCAGAAGTTACGAAGAACTACGTAAAGTGCCTCGCAATTAGGCATCGTGTTTTTTATGTTGTTTATTGAAGAATTTTATTTAGCAACTGTTTTGTCCATTTGTGTTATCAAGTACAAAATAAGTGTCTTATAATCTCACTGATTTTAATTTCAAAAACGGAAAAACACCAGAAATCCTACATCTCCAGAACCATGTTTGTATCGTTAAGTGTAAGCACTAATAAAAAAGTAACCCCTCTCATCCATCCATTTCAGGCGATAACAGTAAAACATTTAGGCAGAAAATTGTCAAAAGTTTGCATCCATAACAACTTTCTTTCTCCTCCTATTTAGATTTGGTTCGGACGGGAAACCTAAAGCCTAACCACAAAACCCGGGTAAACTGTTTCCTTAATCAAGACACAGCAAGAAGGAGAGAAGAATAAGAAATGCATCTCTTGTGTAAATTTGATTACCATTGGGAACCATAATTTCTGTGAGACTCAAACTTGTTACCCGCTTTAAATCAATTTCTACCAGGAAGAGTACACTGTAATTTTAAGAAGATTTTTACCACTGCAATAAGATTTTTACCATGCATGGAATTTATGGCATGCCCTATTTCTGTAAATTTGAATCAAATTTGGATATTTTGAATTTCCACAGCTCAACTTCACTTGTTAAATAGTGCATAGTGGAAGAGTGCTAGATCTAAATTGCACCGTCATATTTCGCAAAACATAATAGTACACTTTTGGCTCTTAAGTTGTCCAATTTAAGAGTAAAACTCAAAATGTATTCAAAATATATTTCGGTTGATTTTGAAAGAAACATAAACTGGTAAAACAATTTATGTAACAAAATCGTCCCAAATTGTAGGTACTCCGTTATGGTATTGATTTGGTAACATTTTTCTGCTGGATCGGTAGGAGTTATATCAAAAAAGTCAAAATAGCCAAATTATCAGGCAATTATTTTCATATCCTTTTATTGTAAATATGAACCAGATTTTAATTTCATGAAATTTCACATCTCAACCGGAACGCACGTGTGCCAACTTGCACTTGAGACTCGACTGACCTAAATTGAGGTCTCTTATTACATTTAATCGACTTTTGGCACCCAAGTTATCAAATTTACGTGAAAAATTTTAAATGTGTAAAAAAATATGTTTCTGTGGATCTTTATGAAAGAAACGAACTTGGTAGTAAAACAATTTTGGTCTTTGTTAATGCCTAAACGATTTTAATACCAACTTATTTTGAGTCTAGTTAATACCATACCTGTTCAAAAAAACTTTTTTCATTCAAAGTTCAGTCATCCCGATTTCTGAGTGAAGATTTTCATTCAAATTCAATCATTTTCTTTCAAATTCATTTCATTCCCGTTCACGTCATCTGACTTCACTTCTTACTTCGCCCCATGTATTAAGCATGGGGTGAAAAATGAAAAGAGAGAAATCCTTTCATTCACATTCACTCATCTGAAATGACTGAATCTTTCACTCATTTTCATTCAAATCACAGGAAATTCATTTTCATTCACTATCATAATCAGTCATATGAATGAAAGTGAACAGGTATGGGTAATATGACCTTGGCTGAAAACTGCATTTATTTATTTAATGTCCTGCCCATCTTACAACTCTGCTCTATTCGCTATTACGTAACCCACCATAAATAGTTGCGCTGAACCGTGCACACATAGATATCTACAACAATTTCATTACATTAAGCTCTCCTCGAGTGCGGAACTTTCCTCTGAAGAAAAGAAAGTCTTTAACAAAACAACTTTCCCCGGCAAGAAAATATCTTCAGCAGTTTTAAAGCAGTGAATGGGAATGAAATGAAAGTCAGATTTCTGCGGAGGAGGAAATAAGTGAAAATCATTCTTCTCTCTTTGGTTTCTCTTTGTAAACTATTAAATAAAAATGAAATGGGATATTTAAAAAACTGGCTAGCTTGAAAAAAGTGGAAAATTGTAGAAAGGGCAGCTTTCCTTAGATTTTTTTTGCGTAAAAAAGCTAAAAACAAGTGGGAAATTTAAAAACGAAGTGAGAAATTTAAAAGGAGCTTCTTTGGGTCTATGTTTTTTAACTAAAAAGGAAGTTGGAATCTCGACTTTACATGGACTTTACTTGGACTTTACATCTAAATATGTACATATATAAATTCCAAGATAAGTCATTGTTTTTAACGACGCTTATCTTGTAACCTAAGTAAACTTTCAGGCTTCATTGTTCCCAAATTAGAAGGACCACACACACACGCACTCGAGCCTCTCGTAGGATTAGACGTTCTCGAAATACTTTTGGTCTTAACTTTCACTTTCACTCACTCCACTCAGCCCCAGTGATGGGCAACCTCACGAGGCCTCGGCCTCTCGAAAAATTTAGTGAGGCCGTCGACCTCACATGGCCTCGGCCTCGCTGAGAAAACTCCAGGCCTCGGCCTCTCAATTTCGACCTCGGCCTCACGTCGAAAATCTTAGGCCTCAGCGAGGTCGGCCTCGGCCTCTTCAATTTTCAAAGAGAAGGCCTCAGACCTCACTGGCCTTGGCCTCGCCAAGGAAGCTCCAGGCCTCGGCCTCCCAATTTCGGCCTCGGCCTCACACCTTGAACCTCAGGCCTCAGCGAGGTCGGCCTCGGCCTCTCCATTTAAACATACAGTGAGGCCTATGACCTCACACGGCCTCGGCCTCGGCCTCATGTCCAAAATCTTAGGCCTCAGCGAGGTCGGCCTCGGCCTCTCAAATTTTCAAAATATATGCCTCAGACCTCACTGGCCTCGACCTCGCTGAAAAATTTCCAGGCCTCGGCCTCATGATTTCGGCCTCGGCCTCACATCTTGAACCTCAGGCCTCAGCGAGGTCGGCCTCAGCCTCTCTAATTTTCAAAGAGTATGCCTCAGGCCTCACTGGCCTCGACCTCAAATTCCTGAAAGAGGCCGAGACCGAGGCCTGAGGTCACAAAAAATGGCCTCAAAGAGGCCGAGACCGCCCATCACTGCTCAGCCCAACTTTCTCTCTCTCTCTTGATGCCGTCATCTAATTAATCCGGGTAATTAACTAATTAGAGACAGACTTGTTTCCGGGTGATGGACTTTCTCCGATCCGGGAGAAGAAAAAAGTGAAAGCAAGGACAGGGAGTTATTCATGGTCACAGTTTAGCGAAATTCAAATTGGCAAAAATATTTTTTTGCAAATATGGAAAAAGTATCATGAAAGTGACAGGTGGCGAAATTAAGGTCCCATTTGGGGAAACAGGAAAACTCCTAAAATTACATTTTGCGAAACAAAAATTTCTTGCGAAAAAATAAATTCGTGTCACATTGTGTCACATTCAAAAATATTTCGTCGAAAGTGCTCTAAAAACAATTTGGTCAAAAGTACTCCAGAATTAGTGAATTTTGCCAAATGTAATTATTTCACGCTGAAAGTCTTTCGCTAAAAGGATTTTCGTCAAACTGCCCGTCTTTCCAAGGAGCAACCAGCAGTTTATGTTTTATCATTGTCGCATTATGCAAATTAGGGTAAACATGACACTCAAAAGTAAAGTAGACAAGATGATTTCGAAATCCACTAACCGTTAACTTTGAGGAAGATGACTTTGGAGAGGCCGGAGCCCACGTCGTTTCTCGCCTCGCACAGATAATTCCCCTCGTCCGATTTTCGCACTTGGTCGAATCTAACGGTCCCATTAGTGAAGGGGGACGAGTTTCCGGTGGGGGGAAAAATGTCCTTGTAGTCGCCCGGCTGCATGCCTGGTGACGCAGTAATAAGAGCATTTTCTATAGAAAATGAGTTACATATTGAGAGAAAGATGAGGGAACCAGGGTATGCTACCCTGGGTTTTTGGGGTATTGGGGTTTTGTGGGTATTGATGGGTTTTGGGGTGGCAAAAATGAGCAATACCCACGGGAAGTCGGGGTAGTCGGGGTTTTCAAATTTAATAAAGTAGGATCACAGGGCATTACTAACAATTACACGAATTAATTCGTTATTTAAATTAAACTAATAACAAGCTTTGTTGAGAAATTACTGAAAAACCAAATTGTTTTAACAACTGAATACATGAACCACTGACTCAGTTTACCCCCAAAACCCCGATTACCCTGACTACCCCGACTGAAACCCCTGGGTATAGGTTTTCAATAGCAAAACCCCGGGGTTTTCCTTACCCTGGAGGGAACAAAGAAAAATGTTTAAAAATTTGGTAAATGGTAAAAAAATCTTTGGTAAACTTATCCTAACTTTTGGGAAAATATATTTTTTGTTCTAATGGAATTTGTGACCAAATTAGTAAAAAATAGATTGCTAATTGATTGTACAAAATTAAACAGTTATAAACACTACTGAAATAAAATTCCTAAAAAATACTAAACTATTGGCGAAATATTTTCGAAAATGTGTATTTGTGAATTTTCAAGAAATTTTTCTAAAAGTTATAATTTTGTGATAAAAATTTTCAATGTTGAAATTTCCGACAGAAATAAAAATTGTAAATTTTATATGGAAACTGCACATGTTTGGCTCCAGGTTCGATAATGGTTGAGAAAAATTATTTAAAAAGTTAGACATAGATGAGAGAGGCATGACATATCCAGCAATTAATTCTTTAACGATCTAACTTGCAGTAATTTATAAACAGATTTTTTTAAATAAATAAACGTGGTAAGAATATTTTTATTGATTTGGATTAGAGTTTGATAACATGTATTTTGCTGGAGAATAAAATAGGCGACCAAATTGGTAACAAAATATTAACAATTGATTACGCAAAAGAAATAAATTAGTAATAAAATTGGTAACAAAAGAATTGGTAGCACAAAATAAACAAATTAGTAATAAAATAGGTGACACTAAATCATCAAATTGATAATACATAAAAACAGTAATAGTACAAAAATTGGTAACGAAATTTGTTACCGTAAAAAATTAGAGGATATCGACAATTTCTAAAAATTTTGACGAGTATGAATATTTAACGTACCAGTGGCCCTTTTCCATGTGATTGCCGGGGTGGGATGGCCCTCGGCTCGGCACTGAAGTGAAAGCGAGTGTCCGGCCGAGACGTTGACGTCTCTCGGCTCCAAAATCCACTTCGGCGGAACTGCAAAATTATCCAATATTAATGATCGCTAATTTCAACCAATTGCCCATTTCTGGATAGTCTGAGGTCATAGGAGAATACACAGAATTGGGGTCAAATTACTTAATTATCATGGCATGGATCATCTTTACGATATTACCACTTTATGCATAATGTCCATATTTTTTGGCACATCGAAAAATATGTACAAAGGTTTTTGCATACAAAATAAGTTTCTGAGATTTAGCCAAAATTCTGCACTTTCTTTTACACACAATTGTTACATCTTTTACGGAAATTTTGTAATTACTGCATAGCTTTTGAAATATGTCTGTCGAGTTTCGAAATTCTGCTATTTAAGGTAATGTATTATTTTCGCAAATTTGTCTTACAAGTTTGTACATATTACGTAGTTTGATACATGCATGGATGTATTCTAACGAGTTAAGCATTTTTTGCAAATTTTTTTTTCAATCATGTGTATAATGCAAGTTCAACAAACCATGTATAATGCATTCTCCTACTTTTGCAACATTTGTTGGCGAAATTCTTTTCCTTTTTCTCAAGTTACTTTTTCAATCATATTAAATAATGTATTATGCAACCCTATCTACTTTTTCCACTTTTTTGCACTCATAATTTTTCGCATGGTTTCGCAAACCATGCAAACTTATTAACAACCCTCCAAATTTTCCCTTTGAAAACTAGGCCAACTTTCACTAACTCAAACTGACTTGACTTTCTTGACCCGACTTTCCCAAAATTTGACCACCAGCCGAAACTTCATTTTCCATGAAATCAACTTTCTCCGTCCGCTGCTCACAAGGAGACAAAGACGAATAGGAAATCGAACCGGCTGCGTTTGCGGCGCAATGGCCGCGGAAGCGTGGGAACAAAGGGGAAGGAAATCCAACCCAATCTGGGTTTGCATGGCAATGAGGGACAATGTCCCCACGGTTATTCGATGTCCCCATCATCTGCCCATGTTATATAACCCCCTCCCTCCCCCATCCCTCAATGTTAATAACCCCCGATGTCCCCACTGCTTCCGTGGCCTATGTAATAGGCCAGGCAGTGGCAGGCAGTGGTGGCCGAGTGGTCATCACACTGTGCTTCAAGCCGAATGGAGGTTCTGGGTTCAATTCCCAGTACTGGCAGAGAGTTTTTTCCCTTGTGGTTTTCCTCTCTGACTTGTTGTACAGGCCTGTGCGGTGTCCATTGCACTACGGGCACCATAGTTAGGAACCTGTGACCATCTATTTCTCACTTATATGAGGTTTGGTTCACTTGTAATTCAATTGTAATGGCTAAAATTGGGAATCAATAAAGACGACCTTTTAATACTATCACAAGTATAACATAGTTTTATACAGTGGCCGCGGAAGCGTCCCCACAGAAATTTGATTTCTCCATCATCTGCCCATGTTATATTTACAAACCCCTCGCTCCCCAACAATGTTACTGTCCCCCGATGTCCCCACGGCTTCCGCGGTCACTGTTGCGGGGAGGAAGTTGAGCCGCTATTACGCCGCTTAGTGAGACATGAAGTTGGTATTTTTTCCCTCAAAAGTAAACCCTTGTCATTAATCTTCTCGCAGAAAAACCAATCTCATCTCTCGATCCACTCCACAAACGCATCGCTTAACTCATTGCCCCCATCTCCCACCCGGCTGGACAGCGGAATGCGGCAGGGTTTCCAAAAAAGTACGGGACAAAATTACAGATACTAGTGCCTGTGTGCAAACTTTTTGAAAAAATAATTGCACAACAAAAATGGAAAATTTATATGCCGATTAACAAATTCAAAGTTGCAGCGTATTTGATTAACATTGTTTAGATGTTGTGGACCTTGAGTATGTTTTACTTATTTTTATTTAGAGTGTATGCCGATTCAAAAATACTTTACGGACTGACAGTCCGTAAATCAATTGGTAATGATTTTTTAAAAATCAAAAATGGTATCAAATCAAGTAAAAAGTTGTTACTAACCATAGATATAGAGTAGAATAGATCAGGCTTCTTCCATATAGTCAATGTTAAAAACTCGGCAATGTTTTTGAGGTGGGACTAAACTCTGCCTGTGTCTACAAACCTGTTAAACTCCGTATTTTATTATTTGATACTACTTATTTTTGTTTTGGCGTTTAAATTATTCAATTTAGTATGATTTAAACGCCAAAATAATTATTCAATTTAGTATGATTTAAACGCCAAAATAATTATTCAATTTAGTATGATTTAAACGCCAAAATAAAAATAACAGGTGTCAAATAATAATTTTTTAATGATGTGCAAGCGTGCTAAGCATTCCATGCGCTACCGTGCAACCATGCGTTATCCCCAAATTATCCCCAAATTCTCCTCCATGCCGAGACGCTTTTTTCAAAAGTAGCCGAATCTACTCTAATCTATATCTATGTTACTAACAAAACAACCTAACCGCAAATACACTAAGTATTTAATAGCAGGAACAGAAATTATAAAAATCAAGAAAATCAGAAAAACTATAAATACCAAGAAACTCACAACAAGGAAATTCAGTAATTTCGGAGAAATGAGCAATCTGCTTATCACAACATGGACTCACAAATTTTGTAAATCTCATTAAAGGCTTCCAAGTAAATCATTCAATTAATTTAGAGTTTAAGAAACCAGCAAATAAATTGGTGAGGATTAAAACACGGATTATTATTAACGCACCCAGGAAAATACTGAAAAGTACCCAGTAAAGTATTTAAAATCAATAATACTGAATGTTACCCAGACAAATTGTTTTATGCACCCAATATAAAACCAATGCCCAATAATATTGTGACATATAAAAGTGATAAGGCTTTGGTATTGAAACATGAATTAGCCATTTATTTCCTCCACATTATTCAAAAATAAATTTTTACATAGTAATCAATTCCTTCTTAGCCTTGGTTTCCGGTTGATTTTCAAAATCTGATCTGATCCCGAATCGCTTGTGTCGAAACGCATTGTTTGAGACGCTTAAGCCATAGCCAAAAATTCACAAAGTAACGCAAATAAAGATGTATCAATAAATAAATAGAGTATGATGGCAAGTGGCTAGGGGAACAAACTTTCCGTTCAACAAAATCTATTGAAGGCTAATTAGGCTATCTATTAGATAGCCCAATATCAACCGCGAAGTAACTTGTGCAGGCCAGTATGTATTAGCATATCATATAAGATTGTATAAGACATTATTGGGTATTTTAGGTTTTATATTGGGGTCATAAATGAATTTGTCTGGGTGAAGTTCAATATTATTGGTTTTAACTATTTTCCTGGGTACTTTTCAGTATTTTCTAGGGTGCGTTAATTGGAACCCTTAAAACACAAGTAAAAAATGGTATCAAATCAAGTAACAACCTAATCTCAAGAATAAACTTACTAAACATTTAATACCAAGAACAGAAATTATAAAAATCAACAAAATCTGAAAAATTATAATACTAAGAAACCCACAAGTATGAAATTCAGAAACTACGCTCTCTGTAGACGAGTCATCTGTTTGCAAATTTGTTTATTTTACCACAAGCAAAGACCACTTATGGAATATGAAATCCAATTTAAGAGAGTTCATTCAAAATTATGATCCAAAAATAAGATAAAATGTGTAAAAAATTATCTACTCACTTTGTACCGTAAGCTCGGAAGAATAGTGTTCCCGTCCCGCCGAATTTTCCGCGATGCAGGTGTATTTCCCTAAATAAGGAAATTTAAAAATTAGTTATTTTTATTCCAAAATTTTAATAATTAATTAATTAATTAAACGAAATGTCACGCACCGTTATGCACGGAAGAAAGCAAGTCGATCACCAATGTTGAGGAATACTCGTCCGGAACTCGAATCATAATACCCTGTCAGATTAGATGCAAATTAATTTAAAGTTATCATAATACAAGAGCTATCGACAGGCATGCCTGTTCACTTTCATTCATGTCACTGATTATGATAGCGAATGAAAATGAATTTTCTGTCATTTGAATGAAAATGAGCGAAAGATTCCGTCATTTCAGATGAATGACTGTGAATGAAAGGATTTCTCACTCATTTCATTTTTCACCCTATGCTTAGTACATGGGGCGAAGTAAGAAATGAAGTCCGATGAAGTGAAATGAAATGAATTTGAAAGAAAATGACTGAGTGTGAATGAAAATCTTCAGTCAGAAATCGGGATGACTGAACTTTGAGTGAAAAAAAGTTTTTTTGAACAGGTATGTCGACAGGTAGATAAGCACGGTGACAAGATTTGTCAAGGTTAAAAGTCAATTTCGAAAATTACGATAATGTGACATTTTTTAATGGTTTTAGATCGGATTTCATTAGTTGCGTGTTTGAAAGTTACATATATTATGTTTTTAGCTATGAGGTTCTTAAAATCTTCAGCGACTATTTGTCCCTCGCAACTTCGTCGCAAGATGCGTCTTTTAGTATTCGCATATTTCAAAGATGTCTTCAGCACCGAAAATTTGTCATATTTCAAGCCGATCTTTTAAAAAGTCCCGAAATTAGTATAAAAAATACTCGTTTGAGTTACACGTTTAGATAATTTTATTTCGTTGTTTAAAGCACAAAAGCAGTGTCAAAGTGAAATACAAATTTTTTAAATTGACATAAATTTCACACGTTCCAATCTACTCCTTGAAAATAGATTGGCTAAATAGAATTTCAAAATATGAAATGATACCTAATTTTTTGAATTTTGCATTCATTTTTCACAAATTCCTTCCAATTCGTATTCGCACTTCTAAATTTTTCAGATTTTGCATGAATTTTGGATTCACAAATTTTTGAACTCACCTTTGTCACTCCTCCCGAGATTGGTTTCCCTTCGAATTCCCAAACGAGATCGATGGGTCGATCGCCCTCGAGGAGTTGGCAGGACACCGCCGCCCGCATTCCTTCCCGCAAAACCGTGTTCATAAACTGGAACGGCATCAGCTTTGGCGGAACTGAGGAGACAAATTTGGGAGCGGATGTAAATCCAACCGTGATCATCACCAATTTCGTGTAAGACGATATTTAATGGGGCTCTTTGTATCATGAAAAATTTATGTCGGAGTAAAATTTATGGGATAAATGAAACCATGTGAAATATTTGAGTGGCATGGAGCTGATCAAATTTTGTCACAAATTGGCCATCAAAAAGATATCAGGTTTAAATTTAAGGGAAGAAGAAAATTTGATGAAATTGGGACGTTTGGTAATAAAATTGCAGATAAAATGAAAAGCTGGATGTAAAATCAAGTACACAATTAAAAAAGGATTCACGCAGAACTTTGTTAAACTTATAAGTTTGTATACAACCTTTAACAAATATTTCTGAGGAAAATTAGCTTACAAAATTGTTTAAGTTTACTCAGATCAAGGTTCTTTTTATTTTGAAACAGTTTGCAGTCTAATTTCACAAAATTTACGAATTTTACAAAGGACTGCGTGAATTGTCTCACGATCAGTATATAAGTTATGTGCTTTGTAAATGTGAATTGCCTCAATTTGTCAAAGTATAATGGTTGAGATTGTAAAATGTGCATTTTTATTAAAGTATTCGAAATTGGAATTATTCAGAGTTTGTCGCTTTGAGATGTGTAAATTTAAAGATTTCTCAATTTTACTAGTAATACTACGAGTAAAATAATCTACTAGCCGCATAAAAATTACTCGGTCCTCATTTTACACAGGCATCCTATGAATCTATGTAGCAGTTAAACAACGAATTATTTTTTTAACAGAATTAAATTTGGCATTAAAATTTGTCAAGTACACAATTTTCACTGGTATCTTTGTAACCCGGTAAATTGTGTAAATGGTATAAAATTGGGAGGCACAAGCTAACAAAGAAAAAACGCTCTTATTTTTCTTAATTCAAGTTCATATTTACGCAAACTTTTACAGATTTTAGAAAAATTTGACTGAATTGATTTTGTATTATAAGAATTTGTGTAAATATTACTGATATTTAATAAATTACGCGAAACGAACCGACTACGCGGAGGTGAATGTCTCTGGAGGAAATTTGTTCCTGTCGGCCTTTCGCGTGGCAGGTGAGAATCCCTTCGTCCGTTTTCTGAATGTGCTCCAAAATCAGGGTCCCGTTCGGGTAGACGCGCTGCATCCTCGTCACGGGGAGAAGACTCCCGCCTAAAGTATGCGCAAAAAAGTTAAATAATGAGCGGGGATTCATTACGAGTTCACGTTTCAAAATTTTTAGATAAATAAATTCGTTTTTCGTTTCTTTCAGGTTTGCTACATACATTTCTTGAGCTGTAAAACAAGAGACTCAAAAAATACAAGGTGGAAATTAAATTTTTGTTAAATGTTGTTCTCAACCTGCCGCCCCGGGATTCATAAATCTAGGGCATTATAAATATCAGACTTGCTCGCAACACGTGATGCAATAGAACGTTTTTCACGTTTCGAAACGTAATTTTTCGTAAACTTTCGAAACGTAATTTCAAAATTGTATCTAAATACGCCGTTTTAAGAAATTGTATACGTAATGCGTTTTCATTAAAAGGTACAGATTTTGGGTGAAATTTGGAAAAATTATTTTATAGACCTCGTTAAAGTTACATAAAGTTAAACATTAAACATAATGACTTGTCTGCAAACCGTATCATTTTATTAGTTACCTCTCTCCCAAGAAATGTTTTCGATGGGATATCCGGAGACGGGGCACTGGATTTGCAAATTCTTCCCAGCCACGCCCTTTATCGGAGGAACCGGTCGGACGAAAGGTGGACCTAAAAGAGCAAACATGGAATAAAAAATATTACAAATTTAGTAAAAAAAATTGAAATTTTGTTCACACACATTTGCCGACAAGTTTTATTTTGGCGCGCAAAATAATCGTTACGAACACAAGGATACTTTATTTTGTTACAAATTTAGACAATGATTCCCTTAATTGTCCCATTATTTAGGGGAAACTACTTTCTCTCGCAAAAATAACACCACATTTTCACAATTTTGGCGGCAAATAATCGTTACGAACGCGGTGATACTTTATTTTGTTACAAATTTAGACAAAGATGTCCTTAAATTTCCCATTAGTTAAGGGAAACTACCTTCTCTCACAAAAATAAAACCGCATTTTCACAACCACAAAATTACTCCAATTTTTTTATTACTTTCTCTTCGATCAGGATAAAAAAGAAATTGAGCGATGCAATAAAATGAACTGGTTTACACACAAATGAGACAAATCACCCGAAAAAAGGACGCGTTACGGACAAAAGTAAAATAAAACATGGGGAAAGTTGAAGCTGAAGAAACATTTAATGAAATGCGACACAAGACGAGAAAAGAAAGTCAAAGCCGAGTAGTCAACTTTCTCCGTTTCTCCGTTTTTTTTCCTGGTCGCACACACTAAAAAATCTGGGACAAAAAGTTGACTTGTGCCGGAAATAAATTATGACCCCGCTGGTTTTCGGGTGCTCATAAGTACTCTTTTACTGAATTGATAATATATTATCAATTCAGTAAAAGAATTGCTCATGGACGAATTATACTGATAAATTACTCGCTAAGAGAAACCGTATCACTCATAAATTAATTACCTACGTAACTTTGTAAAATCCGCAAACTTACAAACTTTTACAAAATTTTATTTTAGTTTCGGTAACTATTTTACTTCAAAAATGAAACATGGTATCTCCGAAAATGGAAATTTGTTATCGCATTCAGTGTTCTCAAGATGGGAGAAATTTCTCTGAAAATATGGAGTATAATTTCGTAATTTGAAATTAGCAACACAATCCAATTCCACCACAAGAACAAGGTCAATGTTACAATAAAATGGCTAAAATACCGGATAGTTATTTTATTGTCCGTAAAAATCAACCCTCGCTTCACGCCGACCTAGTTTATCAGATTATTAAGAGTGCTCGAAACTGATCCAGCTTATTTAAATGGGCAATAAATCATTTCTGGAAACCTTTTTCTTTCCACTTTCTCCTCGAAAACGTACTAAATCCAGTCGAACAAGGAGTACTTTTCCTCCAAAGACGGGACACCCATTATTTTGCTGCTCACACTTTCTCCCCGGAGAAAGTGCGGACTTTCTCCCACGACAAGAGAGTTTCCAGTGAAAGTGAACAAGAGGGTCAACTGCCACTTTTATTGCGAGTACTTTATTTTACACTAAATGTCATAAAAAATATGATAAATTGGAGATAATGTGGTCTGATTTGTGTTCGTGTGGGGAAAAGATTTCTTTACGAGGCTACATAGTTCTTGTACGCGATAAAAATAAAATATGCAAATTTTACAAGTTTTTTTTGTGGGGGTGCTGTTTGAGAAAGAATAATGCGACTTTGAGGAGTTTTACCACGTTTTACCGTGAAAATTAGTACATTGTAGTTTTGTTAGGTGGATTTTGGGAAATATGAAGTCCAAATCTTCTGTAAATTTGAAGAATTGATCATTTTTGCGACAATTCAATCATAAATATGCACCAGTAACCTTCAAAAAATTGTTTGCAAACATTTCGAACTAAAATTATGTCATAAATGTGTGCACATAGTTTATACAAAATATTGTATGAATAAATCTCATTATTTGATGTGCAATTACCAAGTCCTTATTCTATAATAACTGTAATGAAGTAATTTACGCAGTACTTGGTCATTTTGTAAAATCTGTATAAGTTTTAACTTTTACAAAATAAAAAGATTTACCCGATCCGAGTAAGTTTACAAAATTTGTAAGTTCATTGTTCACAGAAAGGTTTGTAAAAGGTGTAATTTTGTCTTAGAAATTTATTTTAGAAAGTTACCAACCAAAGACTGCTTGAATGATTTAAATATCTGACAATGAGTGAATTTTGTAAACTTGCATACATTCTACGCCACATTTGTATTTTCTTAAAATATAATTGTTAATAGAATTTTTCAGATGAATGTTGTTATTAGGAGATAAGTGATTTGTGTTGTGCAACTTTATAAAAAACTTTACTTCACAATTCTCCCAAACTGTTCATGCAATTTACCGAGTTGTAAAGTTGTTGCGAAACATCCGAGAGAATTGCGATAATTACGCGAGGTAAGGACATGAAAGATTACCGAAATTAGGATAATAAGTAGCACTTTAACACATTTTTGTACGTTTGTCACACTTTTTACAAAGTTATTACAAAGATGTGCGTTTCTCGATTTCCATGTCTTACCTGTCCTTCCTTGTCTTCCTGTGTGGAGGGCGATGCCCATGGCGTTTCTGGCCTGGCACGCGTACAGCCCGCCGTCCTCGTCCTGGGCCTGCGTTATGTTCACGTGCGAGATCACATTGTCATGAATCGTGACGTACTGACCCACCAGAAACCTGGAAGAAATTGGCGAAAAATTAGTGTACGTATGTACGAGTGAAATTCAAAGATACGAATCTGTAACAAGTTTAATAGGAAAAATTCTTCAGAAATTATGAAACCCATAAAATTATTTTATACAGAAAATATTAAAGATCAGAAATTTTACATAAAGATATGAAATTATCGGCTGAAATTATTATCATGGATTACTAAAAATTACAACTTTCCAAAAAATGTCGAAAATGTACATATGTCGAATAGATCTGCAAACGTGTTGGAGGAAAAATTCTTCAGAAATTATGAAACCCATAAAATTAATTCTTTTAGTAAATTTTTCAGATCAATACAATTTTATTAATTTCTGAAATTTATGTAAATATCATCAATTAGAACGAGGTTACGGATCTACGAATGATTAATAAAAATATGCATATTTGCCACAACTCAAGTATGTCGTTGAATCCATACATTTTTCTCTAAAATTATATAGACAAAAATGAAATCAACAACTTTTAGAACGATTGATGATTGTTTAAATTTCAAATTTAGAATTTATTTTTGACAATTAGAAAGCATTGAAATTATAAGAATTTCAGAGGTTTATGTAAATATCGTGAATTAAAAAAATAAACACTTTCAAACCTACAAATTATGCGACTTAATTTCTTTGAACACTTTGTAAGTCTAAAATGCA